AGTATCTAGGTTCACGTTGACACCCTCAGCATTTATAGCAACTTGCCACCCACGTTGGGCCATTTGGCCTGTGGACAAGATGGCATGCGAGCAATCAGCAGCAACAAGAGCGGAGAGGCGTGCACTCACTAGGCTTCCCTCGACTGTCACGAAGAAAACCTTTAAATCAACTTTCCTACGCAAAGTGATCGGCTCACCTGACGCAAGACTGCACTGAACACTCACAGCGTGCTCCTCCAGGATCTGCACATGGCCGCTGGACAACATGCCCTCACCAACCAAGTGACTTGAGGCCCCAGAGTCTATCAACCAAGCCTGCTGGTCTTCAAAGGAAAATGTGGAGGCCCCAATCATGCTAACCTGGTCGACAACGTGCTGTGGAAACACTGTCCATGCTCAAACTCGCCCTCGTCACCGACATGCTGGTTCTCAAATTGCACATGCCGACGCAAAGCTGCCAACCGACCAACTTCATGCTGTTGTTGTGGTTCAAGAAAACGATCATGCAAGTGTTGCTGTTGGCGAAAAACTCCGTGATCATGCCGTGGTTCAAGAAAACAATCATGCCCATGATGCTGTTGTGGAAAAACTCCCTGATCGTGCCGTGGTTCAAGAAAACAATCGTGCCCATGATGCTGCTGAAGAAAAACTCCTTGATCGTGCCGTGGTTCCCGACCATGCTCTTCAACACGTCCTCCAAGGCAAAGGGATCGACTCTCATGCTCAAAATTCTGGGTTCGACCAAGCACAAGCTTCGGCACACTCTGTGGTGGAACAAGCTCCAACAAAACCATCGAAACTTGCGTGGCACTCGCTGCGCTCTTCGCCTTGGCCTTCGGTGCTCCCTTGTCGTCGCTCTTCTTTGGCTTAGGGCAATCTCTGGCGAAATGCCCCTTCTCTCCGCAATTGAAGCACTTCCCCTTGGTAGGCGAGGCGGACTGCGAGCGTCCTTTTTCACCTTTCTTTCCCTTTCCTTTGCCCTTGTCTTTGTCAGGGCTTGCGTCTTTCCCTTTGTCCTTTCCCTTCTCCTTGCCTTTTCCTTTCTTCCCTTTTCCCTTGCCCTTCTCGAAGGCAGCGACCATCTCTTCAGTCCAAGCAGTCTTGCCCATCTCCTTATCATAGCTGATGAGCCTCAGGTGGGAGTCCTAAAACTTGATCGACTCCAAGACCTGCTCAAGAGTGTCGCTCTTGCCATGGAGAAGAACGTAGTGCTTGCAACTCTCTGGCATGCACTTGAAGTGAAGCATCACCTTCTCAGCTTCCGACAGGCGCACCGACGGATAGGAAGTCAAGTTCCTGTCCGTTCTCAAGAGCTCTGCTTCTACCGCCCGGTAAATGTCCAATGGGCGCTGCAGATGTTTCCCCGGTCTGTAACCAAGGACAGCTTCTCTGATTGCACTTGCTTCCATTCGGGACTGAATCCCAAACTCCTGGTTCAGCCTTCTAAAGGCCTCGTACCCGCAAGCAGCACCAAGTTGCTGCTGCTCAGCTTGGCGAACAACGTCAAGTCCCCTTTGGAACGTCCCCAAGCTCTGCTTCAACAAGTTGTGAAAACGCGCGCTCCTTGCAGCTGGTCCTTTCTCCAAAGAGTTCTGATTCACCACTTCGTGGGTGATGCTGGCCCGGTAAAGCTCGACAGGGTAGAAGTCGTCAAGCAACGCAAGCCAAGAACTGATCCCCTCAACGAACTCAGTCCAGTAGTTGATTTCCGACGAACGGGAAACCATCTTCTCAAAGTTCAACATGGGAATCTTTGGCAAGTAGGCTTCTGCTTTGTTGTGTCTCACTCCTCCGGTGTCCTTGTCGACCTCCATTGGAGTGGCGCTGTCACTGCTTTTCTCCTCTGCTTGCTCAGCGGCCTTGGGGCTCGAGCTAGCAGCTAAGGTCTGCTCTTGAAGCCTTCCAAGCCCCTTCACGATCTGCATCAGCTCAGACTGGGCCTGGATCTGGCTCGACTGGGCCTGGATCACACTCAGCGCGGCTTCAGGAGGAAGAGCCCCGCTCACAGGCGCCGAAGTTGAAGCGACAGCTGGCGCTGGCGCAGGCGCTTGCGGTACACTTGCGGAACTCGTAGCTGCAGTCTGCTGTTGCTGTGGCGGACTCGCAGGCGAACCAAAAGCACTTGGCGCTGCTGCACTGACTCTCGAAGTCGCCCGGGAAGGCGTAGCTGCTCTTGAGGCTGCTCTTGCCCTCGAAGGTGAACGACCACGCGTCTGCAACGGCAAGTCAACAGGCCTTCTAGGAGGACTGCGGTTTCTCCCACGACTTCCACCACCCAAACTTGACAACGAAGAGTCGTCCCCACCGGCAGGTAAGGAAACTGGTCTCCTCATCCCGAAGCGCAGCTGGAGCCACGCTCCGCCACTACGGAAAACTTCGAAACCTTCACGACCAAGCTCTTGGGGTTCACAAACACCAAGCACTCACGAAGTTTGTTCCCAGTCACTCTAGCCGACCAAGCTGGACTTCACTCTCACAAAAGCGAGCAGAAAGCAAAGCGCTGCACACACTCGGACTTCTTTTCACTCCGCCTTGAGCCAAGACAGTTTGCGGTCAGTCACAACCTTTCTTTGTCAAGCTGGAAGCTTTCTCTACTGCTTGACCTGCACAAACACTAAGGCTGCGAAGCAAAGCTGAGCTCGAAACTCTAAGCGGCGAACTTCAAGGCTTCACTTGAGCAGTCAGGCACATCTTGAACGTGCCATTGCACTTCAAAACACTTCAGTCCCTCATCTTCTGCGATTGCTTTGGTGTCACTTGTGCAAAACAAACAAGCAAAAACTCAAGTTAGGCGGCAAGCAAGCGAACTCTACCAACCATGTTCAACCACGGTGTCGAATCCTTTAGTTTGGGCTGGCAGCCAGACAAGTGAAAATTATAGGCGCCTTGACGGATCTCTTTGGATGCCTCTCTCACAGAGAGTGTGGCTGGAAAAAGGCTGTTCGGCGTTCACTGCGCGTGCCAGTAGCTTTCTTTCAATTGAATTAATTTACCGCGCGCGTTTAGGCGGCGAGTCCAGATGAGGCCAGTGCGACGATGAGCTGACATCGAGTGAAATGCACAGCAGCATCACCTTCAGCCCGAAAACTTCAGAATCAAGATCTGCAAGTGGATTTAAACTTGCATTTGCTCTTCTCCAAGAAAACAACTTCAAATCCAAAAGCATCGCGAAGGTTTCTTGCGTGCAAAACCTTGAAAGATGTACATACAGAGCCAACAAAGACTGGAAGCGTTTTTTCGCACCTTTCGTGACAACATACGGAAACGGAACAAAGTCCAAGAATGTTTGCGAAGCATGGGGTCTTTCCTTCGCCAACCAGTGCGACAGCAAAAGTGCAGTTCAGAAGTGTTTTTTGAGAGAGTAACCAGCCTGTCTCGCAACAGCAAAGCAAGTCAGAGTCTGCTGAAGTCCTGTTTAGATCTGGTGGAGATACCTTCCTAAATTCCGATGTCAGCTTGTGCGACAGCAAGAGTGCAGTTCGAACTCCTCTTCTTTGTTTTGTTCGATTTACGTTAAGCCTCCAAAAAAAAGCCAAATGGACTTAAGTGCCAATTTTGATTCTGAACGAATTTGCCCGCAGTCTGTACGTCGTGGTGTGGGTTCCAGATCCAGAACCCCCGAAATGCGTAAAAGAAGATGTTTCTCATTTCGATCAAAAAGGGTTGCTGATGCTGCCAATACCGGCTGTCTGCATACTGCAGTGTGGCTCTGCTTGGACTTTAGTGTGCACGATCGTGAGGAAACAAAACGCAGGGGTCGTCCGTTGTCTATCGAGACTAAAATGGCGGCCGGAGCCAGGTTTACGGGCTTCACCTGTTGCTTTGGACTCTGGTCACGCCGCAGTTGTTGCGAGTTGTTTGATCGAGTTTGTTTTGTTGGGTTTTACGGACTGAGCGCTGCTACAGCAGTCAAAAAAATGGCACTCTGCAGTGTCACCCTGTTCCAGATTGCTCCAGCTGCTCAGAGAGGTGAGAGAATCATTCGTGAGCATTTTTTTCTTTTTGTAGCGGAAGGTGGATTGAGTGGAGCAGTGGAGGGCACAACCTCTCAATTTGCACACACGTTTGCTTTTAGTTTTTTAAGGTCGTCCAAAACAATGTCACGCTCAGAAATCAAAGGAGCTCGGTGAACACCCGTTGCAAAACTCTGTGTTGTTTAAAAAAGCGTTTTATTTGTTTTTCGCGTCTTTAACGTTTTCAGTTTCTGTCATTGAGAATGCTTTTGAGAATTCAAAATTCTTCAATTTGTTGTAATTGGAAAAAATTGAACTGGTGCAAAGTTTGCAACTGCTTTTTCTCTTGGACTTTTAGTTTTTTGCTTGCCTGTTTCAAAGCCGCTGTCTCAGACCAAAAGCACCGTCCACCCTGCGAATACCGTTTTTGGATGCCTTGTTTCGGAACTGCCGGTGGCAACCTGCTAAATATGCGCTGATAAGATAAGAGCGCTTTAACTTCATTTTTTCTGACAATATCACAACAACAGAAAAAATCAGCAAGCAAACCTTGAATCAAAAGCTGAAGAAATGAAACAGTGCTTCGTCTCCGCTTTTGACCGCCACGCCAAAACAGTATCAGCACTTGTGAACTTATGATTATTTTGATCGGCACCGGCAGATACTTGTGATTAAGTCTAATAATGCTGCTCCAGCATGCCTTTTGTGCGTTTTGGAACTTATGAATGTAGGAGCGATGAAGAAGATGTTCTGTGAACAGACAAGGTGTCTCAGTTGCGTGGAGCAACACGACGATTCCCATAAAATCCGATGCTTCTCTTTGCAGTGTTTGCGATGTGGTGGCGAAGCCGTGAATCAATGCTTCAAGCATGGTTGTTCAATTGTTTGTCGTTGAGCAACAGTTGCCACGGTGTTTATCGTTTGTTTGGAGATCACGACAATCACCCGACAGCATGTTGACTGTTGTCTTGGGGGTGCCCCGAGAGGAATGCATCGTTGTCCGAGGGCAAGATGGAACAGCTGCTTTGTGACAGTATTTGTGGTGACATGGCCAAGATGGGTCGGTGGCTGTTGCCATGTCTTGCCTTTGCGACTTTGTTTCTCGTCGCTGAGACGCAATGTTCATGCAGTTTTTCACATTCTCTTGTAGTGATGCATTTCATACAGCGGAATCACCTAAGGTGGTTCGGCAGTTATTGCCAGTACCGTCAAGTGCGACACCAGGCTGGCCCGGGGTCTTCTCTATGCGGGATGAGGAACCGATACGGTATTGCTCCAACACTGCGTGAGCCTTATTCCACGCAGCAGCTTCCATGATAACATATTTCGACAGAATCCACAACGAGTCATGGCAAATCTTTGCAGGAAGTGCGCGAGTTCCAGAAGAGACGCAGCTTTGACGAAGTCAAATCGTCAGCTGTGCGGTTACGTTGGTTTTGTTGGCATGAGATTGAGCTTGGGCAGTGAACGAGTGTAACTGTGATGATTGGTGGCTCAGCGGAACTTCTGACACCTTGCGGCAAGCTCTCATTTTTTGCGAGGATTCGGGTATTTGGTGTGAAGATTCGAACTGTTGCTGCAATTTGAGCTCGATCGCCCAAGCCCGACTTGCAAGTTCGATACCTGAATGTCGTGTTGCATACTCACTCCAGGAGTTTAGCTGCGTTTTCTGCACAGCATGTGGAGTAGTGTTTAACCTGATCGAACCAAGCTTTGCTCTCTGAAGGTTTGTGGCCGTTTCGCCTCCTCGGTTTCGGCACGCCCGCCTCCGGGCTGCTGTGCCGCCAACGTCACGCAGCGCCCTGCCAGAGGCCCGAAGGTGGGGTAGGGATCAGGGTGGCACAAGAACACAACAAGGTTATGACATCGTTGTGGAGAGTGGGAATGGCAAGATCAGGATCAGAAGGGGGCCTCAGCAATTGTGAGAGGTAGCAAGCTCCACGGCCCCAGATGACAGCATAGATTGCAACATGAGATTCCACTCATCTGTGGCAACTCCAGGACTTGGACTTTCACTGGACCCCTTACTCAATCCTGTGTGCTGCCCCAGTGGCAGTAAGTGTTCGAATCGATCTGTCCCGAGAAGTATTGAAAACTGATGAACCCGTGCTTTCACGCTTGGGAAACCCCCTCAATCGGTGGCTATGTCTTTCCAGGTTTCTCTCGTTCTTGCTGATTTGCAGCCAACTCCAACCGTCGGGCACTGTGGAGCATGTAAGCTGGGAGAGTTTGTCGGGATGAAGGTGGGCCGCTTTCATGGGCATGAATGAAGTTGTTCTCCGACAATGCTCGACCCAGGTCGTGTCTTCTGCTTTTAATGTCATCACGTTCCTGCCGCAGTGCCCGCGACTGTTTCGCAGGAACACCCGTTCTATCTGCTATCGTCGTTCAGATGATACTCAGTGTTGAGTGAATGCATGGAGTCGTTGTTTTTTGGAGTGGCGCTCCCGAAATTACATCTCTCTGTGCAAACATGCAGGTACTTGTGGCTGTTAATGGTGCTAGCACCGAACTGGTCCGTCACCAGGTGGGCTGCTGAACAGTGTGTACCCGTATGTATGAGTGTATACGCTGGTCGAGCAGGACTGAAGTCACTTGCTCCGTTCTCCTTGTCAGGAAAGTCATGGAGCCCTTGTGGCCTGTTCTGCTTTTCGCCGCAGTGCATATCTTCATCGTGATAAACGTGGCTTCGGTTAACAGCGACTTGACTTGAAAGTCTGGTGTCCTGAAAGCCTGAGCCATGGCAATATGTGCAACTGCTGAGGTGACAACTTGTCCGACTTCACCGAGCTGGCAAAGGTTTTCGATCCAAGAGTCAGTGATGCTCTCAGTCTCAGTTCGTGATCCCGCTAGCCGCTAAATTCGTGCTCGTTCCGAGTGAACGTTTCTTTTTGCGGATCGGTCTGTGATGTGACATGCCTCAGATCTGGCGCTCCAGATCGACAGATGTGTTTCGCACAGAGGCAGAGTCAAACGGAGATGTGCCAGGGCCAGGGCCGGTTCTGTTTCCCACAGAAAGCTGAAGTAAAGCCGTTCTCCTCGTCTGAAGCCATGCCATGCGCCGGCTGTTCCGAGCCTTCGCGCTGGGCCTGGCCGTGGGGATTTCGGCACTCTTCATGTCAAGGTTGGGCTTAAGCAAACAACTGTCGACTGTCTCTGCTGATTCTCTCGCGGTCGATTTTTGCTCCCCTTCACTCTGTAATTCTTTTGTTTTCCTTGTGTTACTTGGAGCTTCTCTTTCTCTGTCCCTCCCTCCTCTCTCTCTCTCTATCTCTCTCTCTCTCTCTGTGTATCGCCGTCTCTGTTTCTCTCCCTTTCCACCTCTCTCTTTTGCCCGCGTCTCATGCAAGTTCGTTGGTGTCGCTGCTTCTGCACTTCGTGCGAGATGCTGGCCTGGGCCATGCTGTCTGTCACCATCACACCGTGTAGCCTGCAAAGCAGAGCCAAGGCTGTCTGTCGCCTTGACAGGTATTTCATCGGCCGTGGCAACGATGCACGCAGACGTGCAGGAACGTAACTTGGCTGCCGTCTGGGGGGAGTGAGAATGGAGGCCTTGGGATTCAATCTGTAGGTGTTGTGCTGGAAATGGCTACTCGGCATAGAACCTACAACACTCACGGAGAGGTTGCTGTGCTGGCTGGGTGCCTTGTAGGACTTCGATGTGGAAGAAATTGGCAAGTGAATGGGAAAGTCATCTTGCGCGAGCAGCCGTCTCGCGCTTGAGGCAGCTGCTACACTGGCTGCAGCAAGACATGGATGCACAATCGCCATTTTCAGGAGCAAGGGTGTTCTCAGGCGGAAGTCGCGTCGCACGTGAAGTGACTGTCAGGAGATCAAGTGGACACGCACCAGTCCGCAAAGCAAGGCGATCCCGGCCGGAATGGTTTGAAACAGTTCCCAATTCGTTTTGTTGCAAGGCGCAGAACCGATGAATCCGTAACCAGGCCACACGGCGGAGAAGGTGTCGTCAGCAACCACGCAGAGCTCCTATGCAGGGAGTGCCTCGGTGCCAGATGTGCCAGTGAGGGGTCCTAAGCTGCTTGTTCTTACCTGCAGAGGCTGTCTTTGCAGCGTTCTGTGAGTTTTCTGATCTTTTCAGCGAGGTCCTGTGGCGCCCGGAACCGTCTGGCTCGGGAACACACCCTCTCAAGAGCCTTGTCACCGACACCATAGAGGAACGGCGACGACGACGTCGGATTCTCCATGCTCAAGATGCACAGGTCCAGAATTCAGCTGTTAACGATGCTAAGAGACCTTTGTGCAGTTTGTTTTCTGTTGTGAGATACTTGGCACCCCTGGCATCACACCTCGACCTTTTCCGTAGTCCTAAAGGCCCTGTGGCGGTTCAGCTACCGACACCTCAAGTCTGTTCATTCCCAAAGTAGTTTCTTGGAAGCTGGGAATCTCCGTGCTGCAAAGCATCCAAAGCCGTCCAAAGCCACGAGCAGCCAAGGAGCTCTCGGCTGCCCAGGTGGAGTCCATGGCCGCCCCGCCGGCGCAGCCTCGGCCCTCGAGGAGTTACTCCAGCACCTGCGCGTACAGCACTGGCGCGAAGAAACACGAAGTGCAGGAAGCACGACTTTGTCCTGTGTGCGAACGTAGCAGGCCAGGCTGGGCTGCCAGCTGACGTAGCTGTGTCTTCAGGGCGCTACCCCTCCCGAAAGTTTCAGCACAAGCCTGCTCCGCAGCTCCGTCGTGGCTTGTGTCGATTTGGAAGGAACTCTGGGGAGCTCGCTGCAAGCCGCTAAGGCATTGGGACCTGGTTGGTGGGCTATCAAAGGCAAACTTGTTTTGACTGGTTCAAGGCTTTAGGGGTTGTTCTTGATGCCGCCGGGATTTCTTATATGAGATAGCTGCATCCAGCCCAAGCCAGATAAAGAAGCAAGAATCCAGCGCATCAAGAATCGTGCGTGCCGCAGGCCTTCTTCACGATCGCCTCCAGAATTCAGCAGAGGCGTGGGCCCTCGTAGCTCCATGCGCGTTATCTTCGGGTTCGAAGTTCGACCATTGGAACTGCACTGTCTCGGTCACGCTCAAGGTTGTAGCTCGTTATGTCCGAAACCATTGTTTGCAATTCTCGAAGACGGCCCAACCAGTTATGGCATGCAGGGGATGGCGTGTTCGAGTGCTTCTTCCAGCCATCGGCGGCACGGAGTTCGACAACTTTCGCCTTGACGAGAAAAATGGCACATCCTTGGCCAAGGTGCTGGATTTGCGGCTCGACCCGAACCGTTGTCAGGATTCCTAAAGGCGCCTTTCGACTTCTTCGACATGTTGCTTGAAAGCTGTGATTCTGCTGAGCCGGTGGTGACTTGTTATTTGCAGCTTGGTTAGCACAAGGACTTCACTTCGCAAGCTTCTGGACATTGACGAGGACGCCGCCTGATGTCGCCGAACCTGCAGGGCTGGTAGTCAGGGCGGCAAGTCCGATGCAGTTGGGCTTTTGCAATTGCATAGTCATCTCACCACCTCGTGAAGGACTCTGCTGCCACGGTTGAACCACGGAAGAAAGTTTGTTGGGAGAAGGGCGCTGATGTCTCCGTGTCGCATGTCCGCAAGTCCGGAATGTCGGCGCAGTACCATGAACGTAGTGCAGGATCTTACTTCCTGTGCCTTCTGCAGGTTCAACTTGGTTCAGATACGGAACGAAGGGCTCCGTGGAGTTACAGTGCCCCACATTTGGCTAGGTGGGAGTGCGGAGACAGCAGAGGCAAAAGTAAGGGCGGTGCATTTATGTGACAGGTCCAGGATATGAACGGTGGATGTTCGAGCAACTCTTTGACAACCTCGGGACACTAGCGCAACACGGCTGACTGGCGGACTTTCCTCACAACCTTGTGTATTGCTATGGTGGCATGAGCACAGTCGCTCAAATGTCCTGCAGCCTGGATATAGTGTTGGTGTCGCCCTTGAATCCTGAGTTTCTTCTCGAAGCGGAACCGAGGAATGCCCCCAATGTCACTGATGCGATCCGCGTTTTCTGGCAGTTCCCCAGCTTGAGCAAATGCTCTCGTCCAGGTTCAATGATTACTGTATCTCCTTCATGTCACCAACTAGAAAAACACAGCAGAACACTCAAGAAAGCAGCGCGGTCATCGTGTTTCGGCAACAAGGATGCGCAGCTCCAGCCCGACCGAGTGCAGTCCCTTCGTGTACCCCGATCTGGCCTTTGAGGCCGGCAGAAGACTGGACTGGAATTCCCAAAGGTTGGTATCTCAAAGATCTGTCAAGGTCCGTAAAACTCGGGTTGATGACGTGTTATGCATGTCATGTTCGCACTCTGGACTATTTTACCATCCGTGAGCATCGAAACCTGTGGCCCTGGCCAGACACTTTGAACTCCAGTCTTCAGGCTTGGAACTTGGAAACGGTAGGTCTCCAATCCAGGAGCCCTCACAGGCTGACACGCATCGCAAACCAGGCAGGAGCCCCCCAAAGCCTCGAAAGTCTCCAAGGCACAACCAAGGGACCCGCGTGAATTTCAGGTGGGCCAGGCCATGCTCTTGAAGCCACCCGAGAGACCAGAACGCTGTGCCTTCGTCTATGCTGCTCGGAGCTAGAAAGTAGGTCTGCTTAGTTGAGCATGCATCGCAAATTCACTGCAGAGCTTGTTCGAATTCAGTGCACATTGACGGCTGCTGTGGCTATCTGGGAGCTCTGCTTAATTCTTTGGCTGTCTCTATTTTTCCCACAGCGCAGTTAATGTCGTACGGCCCGAGCATTTAATCAAACGGAGGCTAGGTACCTCTGCGACAACCTGGAATGACAACTGATTCACCATGGTAGCTGGGTGCTCCTCCTGCTGCCCAAGCTGCGGGATTGAGTTTTCGAAGCACGGCAACTTCCTTCTTGCGAAGACTCCTAGAACTGCAACTGTATTCCTACAAGTCGCGACGGCAGTGAAGCAGACCCCAGCGTTACACCTGCCACGCCACTCACTGCTGCTCAGGTCGGTCCCATCATCCGTCGCGATCGGCTGTGGCACCTGCGGCCGGGGCCAGACTTCACGAAGAGCCTTGGTTGCAGAAGTTGGGTGTCCGTCGTTCTGACTTTCGGTTTCTCTCCCACAAAAGTGTCTAGGTTGCCGTCTGCTTCAAAAGGTGACGATGACGGGGCTGAGATTCTTCAGTTTTGAGGCTAAATGATGCTTCGTTTGAAATCTCGCTCTGATGGATGCTTCGATGGAGTGTATAGTGTATGCAGATTAACTCACTCATCCTGGGCGAAGGGTTGGATGGGTTGGCTGGAAGACCGGCAGATGCTGCATTGGCATGGCTGATCTGCTTCAGCACTGCAGGTGGTGCCCGCAGTGCTCATTGCCGGACCTTCCTGCTTGGGTGAACGCCACGGCCAAGAAGATTGGCTCGTTGTTGAAAGAGTAGTGGGCTCAGAGCACAGCAGCAATCTCAGCGGAAGCGGGTCGTTTATGAAGCTCTCTGCTGAAATTCCTTGCTTCTGGATTCAAGTGGATTGGTCCAAAGCTGCAACAAATCTGAAGCTAGGGTCATGCGGCCGATTCCGCTGGACCTGCCAACCCATCAGACGCAGGCAGCAGGTAACCTGCGCCGCTTTCTACGTCCGCCTTCTCGGCCTCACCAGCACGGCCACTGGGCTTCATCAGCCAAGACCAGCCACAGCTGCGGCTAACTAGTTTGTGATCGCAGCAAGGAGAAAGATCTCGGCCTCCGACTGTAGACGAGTTGCGACACATGCCTGCTGTTAGCGCCTGACTTCACTGATGTTCTGAGGAGTTTCTACAGCTTGTCCAGGATGGCGCAGCCACAGCGGGTGTCCCATTTGAGGCTTCGCGGATCAAGAAACGGCCGTGCCGGTTGTGCATGGAGGCCAACATGGACGCTGGTCTTCACCTGATTGAATTCGAAACAGAAGCGAAGATTGCTTTTGGGTGGTTTTCTAGGTGTCTGTGTATCTTGTACATGTAAGGAGATTCTACAGCGTGCGGCGGCCTCGCCATTGCTGATAGCAGAGTACGGCTCCTTCTGGCCGGACCGGCTTCCTGTCAACCGAATTTCTAATCATCCGGTGAAGCGACTTATAGTTTTCAACAGCTCAGTACAGCAGGACTTGCCGGCAATGCACCTGCTGGCACGTGGTGCCACTGCCTGTGCCTCAAAGATGGCCAGAACGCCTTTCTCAAGGATCACGGTTGTCTCCGAGGTTGCATATCTGCATGGGGACGTCTCTGTGCGCTCATACCTTGCGAACATGAAGGAGGTGGCACTGCAGGTTGCTGCACATGTGCAACAACATCAGAACGAGCCTGCTCACCCCAAAGACAAACCCAAGAGAGGCTAGTGGGTCGCCTGGAGAAGTTCGACAAGATCTTGATCCACGCAACGACGTTGCATTCGGCCGTCTGGGGTGCAAGGACATCTGTCTGCAGCCGCGTCTTGCTGCCCGTGTCAATGACCCTGGGTGAGGACGGGCTCCTCTACCGCGGAAGATGCATCGACTACCGCAGCTGTGTCCGCAATTTCACGCTCACTTGAGCCGTTGCTTGAGCCGCAAGGACGGCAGCCTGATCTCAGGAGACACGTCTGCAGGTCCTTTAGTTCGTAGTGACACGGACGCGCGGCTGCGATTGGTTTCTTTAGCCGGGTTTAATCAAAGTTTCGCTTGGGATGCGCTGTAGGCAGGCATTCAGAGCTCCAGCCCCGGTCTGCACAGTGCTCCCTGTGAACTGGAGGAATGCTGGCCTGAAGATCAGCCCGGATGATGATGCTCGGATGAACACCGAGGACGACAATGCCACAGGGATGAGACCTTGAGATGATTCCGCAGTCACGAACTGACGAATTGTCGGCTGGAGTGTCAGATGACAGATCAGTTGCGCCTGGCAGCTTGCGGCTTCACCAGCTAAAGTGGATCTGGAACCTTGTCGGGAACATTTCAAGAGCAAGAAGACCTTCTTCAACTTACCACCCGGTGTCAACGGATGTGCGGGCGACCTTCCAAGAGTAAGCCGAAGCCTTCGAGCAGACCTCGGGGATGCAGAGTGCAAGTGCAAGCGGGGACCTATCGGGCCCGAGCGCGACAGCCAAAGGTGTGTCGAAGGGGCTGCAACAGCTACAAAATGCTGCTGATGTTGAGCGCATAATCTTTGGTTTGGGATGCATGTCCCTGGCCACGATTCGCGAGGTACAAACCTATTTGGTGACTTCAGCTCGGAGCCCGGTTCCGCGGGGGTTTACAGGTGGTTGCACGGGCAGCTTTTTGCAGTCCAGGCCCCCAGGCTGCCATGATGAACCTCATGCAGAGTGACGGCCCTGGTGTGTGTTTCGATGCTCAGGGCGACCGGCCTGTTGCAACAGGCGTAGGTTGATATGAGATCAGGGTCTTCAGGTTGCGTGATTGCTGTGCGCTCGTTGTATTCGTTGCGCCGCATTGCCAGCTTCGTTCGACCACCGTGTTGACGTCGCAGCCAGTTTATCGAAGCCTTGGTATCTCATTGGCCATTCACGGCGGCCGTCCCCGGCTTTATTTCTTTATGGACGTCGACTTCGATGTAGCAGAGATGAGCAGGTGCCATGATGTATAGTAGAACTTTCAGGGTTCAAAGCTGCACTCTCGGAATCTCTCGGAGCCGTGCTCTATGCCCGCCCTCAGGTGGGTGGTAGGTGACGTGGATGACGATGAGGTGGCAGACCAAAACGCAGCCGGTGAAGCGGATCCTCGGCTGATGCTCCCATGGCGAGCGCTGCTCGCATCGCATGAAACTGAAGCCGGGTCCGAGGAGGCCATCTACGAAGAGTACAAGTCCCTGGCTGAGCTGGAAGAGCGCTCCTTGGCACCACGATGGGCCCCTGCTGCGGACCCAGGTCAGATTGAGGGCTCCGGTCGTGAGCAGGCTAACTTGTGTGAGGCAATGAAGCCGAGTCCCGTTCTGAGCTCGGAGGGATTATGTTTAGCCACATGACCAGAGAGGAGGTTTGGATGGGATCGAACACTTCTTGTATATAAGACTATGCATGCTAGAGTGCAGACGCCAGCGCCGATGGGATGCGAAATCGTGGTAGAAGGCCCAAATTCGTTTCAGCATGTTCGTGTGGGCTCACTGACATGAAGCACTACACATCAACGCAGGTCCCTGGCCGAAACGGCTTTTTGCACTCCTCAAGCACGAGCCCGTACCCACCTGCCTCCTTGAATCTTTCTCTCTTCGGGCTTCCGGCATTGGCGACCTTGAGCTTAAAGTCTGTGTTTGCAACCAAATTTGCCCTGGCAGTCTTCTGATTCTTCAAGCTCTCGCTAGGGTTTCTCGGAGTGTCGGATTGGTGCGCGTCCCGCGCATGTTGAGGTTGGATACATAACTGAACATGTATTGCATGGATGCATGACTCCGACGAATAAATGGCGTTGGCCATAGATTTTCCGTGAGAGGTTCGCGATCTGACAGGGCCGTGCGGGAACACCGTGCATTCGCTCACTGGTTTAGTATGTTTAGTTGATCATGCCAGAACTCCCAATGTGTGGTGCATTGTTGTGGAATTTTCCTCTAATCGATGCCAAGGGCTTCAGAAAAGCACGGACGAGGACCTCGCTAGTCGAATCAGTGAGGTGGGTGGTGGGGTGCTTTGTTTTTGGGAGGTTCCACTTCACGCCTGCCGGATGACTTGAACGGTTGTTGACCAGTTCGGGATGCTGAGGCTTGAAGGCGAGGGGGGCATGGGTTCAGGTTTCGGACCGTTTCTCTGTGGCCCGGGTGTGTGAGCAACCCGAAGCTATCGGCTTGTGATGCTGAGAGGCGCTGGCGCTGCGGCACACTGGGGCGTTGCAGCGGCAAGTGGAGAAAGCTCCCTGTCAGGGCATGGCAGAGCTCTGGCCTTCAGAAACCTCCTTGGAGAGACATCTTACGCCATCGCATTCTAAGGCTCTAGCAGGAATATGCGTTGTCGGACGCTTCGTGGTTCAAAGCTCGACCGAAACGAGTGACTCTCGGCCGCTGATGGGCTCAGGGCCAGCAGAGCACATGTCAAAACCGAGCGTTGGACCGAGGAGAGGGTGGCCCGAGCACAGCTGGTCGTTGAGAGGGGTCCAGCGTTGCTGCTGAACCGCTTGGTGCCGCCTTCAGCTCCAGCAATTCTTTAGGCTGTGTTTGAAGCATGTCGCTCTGGTTGGTCTGGTGAAGAATGCCGTGGGAAATTCTTGGTGTCTCGGTTCACTGAGGTGAGAGTCTACACATTGCATAATCGCAACCGTGCTCGCCAAGGCGGGAAACCCAGGTTGAGTGGCTGGAAGACTTCGAATCATCAACGTCCGCTTCAAGAGATTGTTGGAACTGGGAGATAGCTTCCCAACAGCCGGAAACTCTGTTTGCCATGAGGGGACAGAGAAGACAGACATAAAAGTATTCATGGTGCCGCAACAGATTTGATGCAGGAGATGAGGTATGGGTGGAAATACGGCACTGTGCTCTCGACCACGCATCAGTCATCCTCAGAGATGGCAGTCAGTCTCTTGACAGTGTGAAGAAAGCCGATAGCATGTTGATACTTTCTGACTGCCTCAGTTGAAGGCAGCGGCACCCTGCAAGTGCGGCATCATCTCACAGTCCATGTTGCTCCTGTTCGCTGTGCAAGTGACGTGTGGCGTAGTACCTGCGCAGTGTTCGGCGGTCCAAGGACCCCAGAGCAGATGCTGGGCCACTTCTGCCTGTTTGGTAGCGTTCTCCGAGCTGAGCGGGCATTAGACCCGAAGTTGCATTTACTTGGCACTTCAGCCTTTTCCTCTGCTTGAAATTGACATCTGTATTGTGGGGTGCCGAGGAACAGGTGCCTGCACGCACGGACTACCTCTGCAAGCAGTCGCAGATTCAGTGGCAGTCGCTTTGCTCGACGTGGCAGAGCTCTCGCAGGTTTGGAACTGTTTGCGACCAAATGTTTGGCGATGTTCTCGCTTCGCAAAATGCCCGGGCCGAAATTCCGGACCTTTGTAGTTGCACAGGAGCCGTCTGGATGTAGAGGGTGTATGCGCGCTGGTGCTCGGAGGTTGCTGCGTTTGGACAGCGTGGTTTGTGGTGCCAAGGACTGGAAGACTAATCTTCATTCCATTCTCTCAGGAAATGCCGGTTCTTCAGGCTCGGGCTCGGGTGAAACATTTGTGCGAGCTTTCCACAGATCAGGTTCGGAGTTGGAGGGGTGGAAAGCTTTTCAGCTTTTCCTGCAATGTCTCGAGTGTCTGCATATGGCCGAGTGTTCGCCAGAGAGGGACCTTGTGGTGTGAATGCTGACTGCAATGTTGGAGGCAGTTGTAGTTACAGGAAGCTGAGAGTGTCAATCGTTGCAGTCAGTGTTCACATGTGCTCGTTTATGACAGGTCAGGGTGCATGTGTGCGGGGGGCTACGGTCCTGACGAAAGAACCGTGGAGAGAGAACACGATCTTACACATACCTGGCAAAGACCTCTAGCAGGGGTGTTTGAAGAATAGTAAGGGGGGAAGCCTTAGCAAGAACCGCCCCCAGAGTCTGAATGCAGGTCGAAGACAGCAGCCGTCAGCATCCACTAGAGCGAGTCTATCGGCTCAGGATTGCATCTCGATTGCACGCCTTATGCCATGACATGGGCTTCTATGTGGTATTTGAGGGGCTGGACTCTTGTGTTTGCTTGGTTTAGATGGCAGTGGTACGGCAGTCTTCTCGTGAGGTCGACTGGCCCGTAAAATCGCTGCGACCGAAAGCGGAGATTCTTGGACATGTTTAGTAGGATCCAGCCTGAACCAGAGGCTCGGAAAGTCTGACACAACTCTCAGCTGAGGATCGTGGAATCCTTCCCGCAGCCGGGAAGCTTCCGGGATAGTCACGAGAGAACCCTGCACTTCTTCTGCAAGGACTCGTGAGGGTTTGGGGTTTGCTCGAATCGATATCACATCGGTTTGGCGAGTGCAGCATGAGGACCTGGAGCATGCGCTGCCTGAGCAGGTGGGAAGCATGCTGTGCCGTCTCTTGTTTTTCCATCCGGGATGGCAGATGTGTGCGTGTCCTGACAGCCTGCTGCGGCTCCAACACGCCAACCCCGCATGCAGGAGACCGGTCTGGTTCGGTGAGGATAAGATACGTGAATATGTTTAAATGACGTTCGCAAGGATGTCAGGTTGCCATGAAATCATTTTCGTAATGCTTTGCATTTGGTCGAGCACATCCTCGCAGTGGGAGTGTACTTGTGAGGAGCGGCGAGACCTTTGTGATGTAGAAGCATTCTCTATAGGCAGGGCAAATTCTCGGGGGGGTCCGTTGAAGATGAGTTGATGGTGCTTCATTTCCGTAAAAAGTCAGCCGCTCCCTGAGACTCAGCCGGGACAGATCTCATAGACGACGCGCTGGAGTTCGACGAGCAGCAGGGGGTTGCTCGGTGGACTTTACGTCGCAAAGATGGGTCGGATTCATGAAGCAGCTGCTGCACATTCACTCGGTTTTGTGATGTTGTGGGAGGTTGTGCATCAGGCAACCACAGAACATGTCTCAGCAGGTTTTTATGGTTTTTTCATTGGTGCCGACCAGCACCATTGGCCAGGTCGTCCGAGTGCACATTGCAGATGTGGCATCCTTGGTAAAGTCCGGAAGCACAGTGGACAGAGATGCAGCCTACATGGGCTGTGGCTAGGCATGATCTGCCTCAGCGTTGCTGCCATGTTTTTGCTTTGTGTTTTGCAGACTTGCTCTAGGTAGCATCTACCTTCGCAATCATTGTGACGTGGTCCAGCGTCCCGGAAGCAACTGCTCAACAGCAGGGCATTCCTGGCACGTTCACAGCGATAGCCGTTTTGCAGGTATTGTCGCTCCATGCTGCCGCAGAACATCACGGAGGCTGCTAGTCTCGCAGTGGGGCAAAGCCGACCAGCGTTGACCTTCGAGTTCAAGACGAGCCGAGGACGGACCTGCACGTGCGTTTGAGTGTGCCCCTGTAGGGTGCTGTAGGGTCCTATCTTGCAGACCGCAACGGCGACGTGACCTTTCAGCACTTCTTCCGCTCGACTATCCGACTTCGCGAATCAATGAGCTTCGAGGAGGCGGCAAGGGTCCTCAAAGACGTGTCGACACCATCAACAGGACTGGTGGAGGGCTTATGGCGAGGGGTCTTAGACTGCTTGGCTCGGAGTTTGGTGTTGGCCATTGCGACACGTGAGGAGTACGGCATGCTTTGCGGGCACTCTGGGAGGTTACCAAGAAGGCAATGGCACGGCGCCTGCAGACGGAGGAGGTGCTTGGCCAAAATCACATTTCGGTCAGCTGCACTTGCAAGTCCTTGAGGCGTACGCATTGAGATGCCCTTGGCTTCAGGACACCGGCGAGGCTCTAAAGCGGACAAAACTGGCAATGCCCTACAACCCTTCAGCCCGCCCCCTTGTCAATGGCCGTGCTTGGCAGGCATCTGACGCTCGACGGCTGGTGGAGTTTTGGATGACGCAGGTCACTCCTACACGTTTTGCGTCTGTCCACAACGGGTTGGTAGACTGCAGATCGCAGTTTGACTTCGACTCTCGCTCAGGTGAACGAGAGCAGTGGTCGTCTGATTTCAGCCCGCCGCACGAAACTTGGAGGCGGTCTCATTCAGTATAAACCAGATGACATGATGTTTCCCGTCCTAGACTTCCTCTGTGGGGGCAAATGGAGTCTTCAAGTGTAAGATCTCTGCCGAAGCCCGAGCGTGCCAGCCCCAGAAGCCTGCCAGATCTTAGGAGTGAGTTGCGGTGTCTCCACTGCTTTCCGTGCCCGGATGGAAATCACTTCTCCAGGCGCTGTTGCTCCAAGAGCGAGTAAAGCATTCCCGCTTGATCAGCGAGACTCTTGTGTGAGCCACAGCAGTGCACGCTGCACCTTGTGTGGTCAATTCTGCTGTGGCTTGACTTCACAAGTGTTAGAAGGAGGAGTCTGGTGCCAGGCTCTCCATGCTCTGCCGCGATGCCACTTTCCGAGCACTGCAGAGAGAAGGCCATGCAGCTCGACGCATGAAGTCGTCTTGGAGTCTGCCCGTCCTTCTTGCGACCGGGAGGGTAGAAACTCGATGCTCCGAGGAAAGTTTGGTCACCAAGCTTCACGAGTCTCCGAGCAGATGCCGCGAGACTATTGCCGGTGTCCTGAAGCACGCGCTGCGGCTGGCTGCATCTCAGTCTGGCGCTGCCAGTCCGATTCTCAGTTCTCTGCCTGCGACAATCCTTGCAGACTTCGTCTTGACGCTCTGCTTCTTCGTCCTCGTCCTTCCCCTCTGCTTAGCTCTGCTTGGTCTCGCTGCTTTTTGCCTTCACTGCCGCGAGCGCCCTTTCTCCGCAGTGCCTCTTGCCGAGGCTGGAGCTCCGGCAGCGGAGGACGGGATCTAGCTAGAAGTGCAAGCCGAGCCGCAAGCGATTGTCTTCAAAGGCAAAGATGTGCAAAGCTGGTCACGTCGCTGATTTACAGTGCAGAGAGCCTTACGCCTTACCCTTGAGGTAGTCAGCACATCTTTGAGACCGACCAGTGCAAGGCCTGGCACTATGACACCGGCGGGATGGAATCGGGTAGTGAAGACGAGACTGAGAATTCAGCAGGCCGCAGCTGTCTTTCGACATCAGCTCAGTCAATCTGCTCCTTGACTGACAGATGCGCCCTGAACCCATAATGGACCCAGTGCAGCGACCAGGGATAGTCGAGATCTTCCCTTGAACATACGAGGTGCCTCCCGCCTGCTACTTGACAATGGAAGGTTCGAAGCCGCCGATGCAGTGGCCGTTCCTACAAAGTGGCGAGTACTTTCAGGCCCCGGCTGGTTAGTTTGAAAGAGGCGAATCGAGAAAGAACACATGCGAAGCGTGTTAGATTCATGCCGGACGAAATTTGAAAGAATACCGCTCAGACATGCAAGCATCGTGCCCAACTGGCAAGGTAACGTCGCCTCTTCGGCGCTGGATCGACCTGCTTGGGCAGCACCAGTCCCTCGACCTGCAATTGCCAGCGCTGTCGTGGCCTTGTGGGCAGCCTTGGCTTCGAGCAGGGCCATGGGCCGGCCAGGAGCAAATTTCTCAAGCACGCAGCGATGGCAATGCAGACTAGACTCTCTCTAAACCCTGGAACTCTAACCGACTTTAACCCAAGAAGCGTCAGCGGCTTTGACTCTGAGAACTTGACCCAGAGGCTTCTCGGCTCCTGCAAGTTGAGCTTCGACGCGCTGCGCCGCAGCACGGCTGTTGCGAACATGTGGTACGAAAGCCTAGGGCCCGAGGGTACTGGAGTTGCATGGCACGGTAGTGAATATGCGGCCATTGCGAGATCGGATTTCGCGCCCAGGTAATGTTCATCGCTACAATGAGATGCATTCCTTTGTGAAACAGGTGTGTGGCATGCCTGCAAGCAGGGCACTAGGCTTTTAACGATTCAGCAGCGTGGCGTGTCGAGGAGCTATGGTTTTGATTGTATGTATGCCGAGGGAGAGCATGACCAGCATTGTCTCGCAAGGTGCTCGATACGCATTTCTGACATTCTGTACGGACCTGTTGAAGTCCGAGCGCAAGATGAACTGTATTGTGAGCCGGGTGGACCAGGGCTCCATCCAGCTGGCATGTCCGGCCACGTGCTTGAAGTGGGCAGGTCGTGGTCATTGCGTGCCTTTTTGTCGAGATACAACTAGCACCAAAGCTATCCTGCAGAATGAGACTGGGAGCGTTTTCCACCTTGCCCTAAGTGCGCCGAACGTGCGCGCAACGCTGTCGGTCCTGCCCTGGGAGTGCTGTGCCGTGATACTGCTGTGAGCCGAGGAAATGGTCGGTTTCTTTCGGAGTATTCACATTCCAATGGGGCTCTTGGCCAGCCACGATCTGGCTGTGCGCCCTGTAGTCGAGGAGAAGAAGGTGGGGTGGGAATGGGGAGTGCAGGACCGGGCCTATCTGGGGTGTGTAAGATCGTCCGATGTCCGTCCATGCGTCTGTCCGTTGGTCCGTACGTACGTTCTGCCCTGAGTCCGTCCGTCCGTCACCAATCTGCGTCTGTGCATTCGTGTGTCCATGTGTTTGTTGGCCCAATTTTTCGTTCGTCCGTTCCTCCGTGGTTTTCTGATCCTCCGTTCGTCCGGGCTACGGCGGTCGAGATATGCGGCCTCGGCCACTTTGAGCTAAAGGCAGGAGCCCCTCGTTGTGAGGGTTGCTTGGGCGGCAGGCGTGCTGGCGATCTCTAGGGGTGTGACGTCGGCCCCCCATCGTAGACAGTTCCAGTATCCTTTGCACCTGATTCATAGTCCTTCCACTCGTGCGGTTGCTTGAAGGTTTGAAACTGCAGGACCACCGCGCGAAAGGCTCATTGCATGTCGCTAGGCGATCCTCCGCAACTTAGAGGACGGGCAGATCTTGGAGCCTCCTGGCGGCTGTTTAGCACCGAGCCGTTTTTGGGCGTCATGAACTGCTCTCTGCACCTCGTATGCCCCGTGTGTGCCAAGGCTGTGCCCGTTTAAAACCAAGATGGTGGCCCAGCTGGCTCTCGATGTTTCAAGCCCAGCTCCTTGACTCCCTGGAAGAGGACGTGCATGTAAACTGTGCATCAGTGGATGCGCCTCAGGTTGCACTTTACCGGCTGACGGCATCTGCAGTTTTCATGGATATGCCGAATGGCCGCCAGCTGCGACATGCGATTCTGGCCCGGCAGCACCCGGTAGCTCGGACTGTTGAGCAAGTGTTCTCTGAGGCCAACTACCATTGGATGCCGCTGGGTTACGGGCGTCTTGTTGCCAAGGAAGTCTTCGGCCCCTTCCCCGACTTGCGGCAAGCGAGGAAGATGCATTCCGAGGGTTTCCTCTGGGGCTCTGTCTGGGAACAGGCCAGGCTGTCAGCAGAGTTCGAGAAGTAGGCAGGTAAGGACATGCTGGGCACCCCTTCGCCATTGTCCGGTTCATGTCGGGTCGAATCGAAGCCATGTTACCATCTTGCGGCTTTCGATCGGCTCGAGACTGGAATGTTGCAAGAACCGGTCATATATCATTGTCGCTCAAACCGGACGCAGCACCTGAAGTAATGCCATTCTTGGTTATGCACGGGAAGGTCCAGTTGTCTCGAATGTGTGCGGCTGCATTGATGCCACGATCCAGCTGCTCGGGACAAAGTAGCCTGGGCCCGCAATTGTTGTTGCATCCATCAGCGCACTACGGCAGCCGCCAGTCCTGCAGTTGCTTCGGGTACGGCATCCGTGATTGTCACCGACGGGAGCTGAGGAGCATTGCCACCTTACTACATGACGACATCATGCCGCGGACTACCAAGCCAATGGTGGAGAGGCAGTTGTTGGAATCCTGACCTAGCCAAAATGAAAACCCTAGGCCCTGTGCTACAACACTCCGCGGTTGTTTTGTTGCTCCTTGCTTCGGCCAGGTCGTAGAGATGGCATCTGCGTTCAAGTGCAGGCAGGACCTCTCTGAACTCTGGTTCGCGGTGGGTCCTTGGGCTTTTGGGATGCATCGCACTTTCCATGCTCGGAGATGCTCTCAGGTGCCGGCTTGCTACCGTGGCCTCCAGGGCTTGCATCGCCTGCAGGACCGGGCTGGGCAAAAGATGGCAGGAGCTGCTTGGAACCTCCTCGGGCCTAGGGTCATGGATGCGCTCATCAGCTTGTGAAAGCATTGTCGCTGCACGCAGCAGATGCAGCAACTAGAGTGGTTGCCTACTGAAGATGCCCACATTCATTCTCACAGCTTCCCCGAAGAGTGATGCGGATTTGGGAGGAAGGACACCTGGCGATCATTTGGCGCAGTGGTCAGAACCAGGAGACCGCTCAACAAGCCTGAGGGACCGTAGACTTAGACTTTCTGAGCCCGGGTGCTGCTTGGATGTTGAAAGTGCTTATCGAAAACGCCCAAGCCGTGAGGGACAGGGCCAACTCGAATGTGCAGCATTCGTTTGAATTCGGATTTGGACGCAGAGCCACAGCAAAAACACTCCTGCACAGTGCGAAGCAGCGAGGCAGACGTAACAGCCTCGATGCGTGCAGAGTTGTCATGCAGTCGAGAAGCAAGTCGTCCAGAAGCAGCTTGAGTTGTGCCAGGAGCTGTGGACAGGCTATGGTCGTGTAACGCACATCGACAGCAACGAACGGATGAAACGGAAGACGCAACTGTGCGCCCAGTCTTAGCTTGGAGTTTCAGGTTGGGGAGTTCTGGTGCTGCTCGTTTCTGCACAGATTGGATGTGTGCGGGCTCAGGAATGGGAACGTACTTTTCGATCGCTGTTGCCTTGAGTTGATCTATTGCAAACTGCAGTTCCGACATCCACAGCACTCTCGTGCAGCGTCCTCCAATGCACCCAATCCCGCCGGTCTTGGAAACACCTTCACAGGAGCATGTCTCGGTATCCGTTCACCCTCCGTGACCAGGAAACAACGCAGGCATCCTCAACGAAATCTAAACCAAGCCTTCTATGTAATCCATGTGGTCTCGACACCATTTCACATGGTTCGAAGATTCGCGAAAGAAGCTGCAAACGGAACGTGCTTCCTTGCAAAAGTTTTCAAAACGCAAACATGTTTCAGTGAGCTCGCGCGGCTGCAATAGCTGTAGTGTTGTAGCAGGCTATTAAGATGTTGCCGCAGTACTCTGTTGGCTTCAGGTTTAAAGAGGAAGTTGAGTGGAGTTTGCAAGTCGACACGAGGGATGAGTCTCCGCTCGAAGCTAAGCGATGAGGCCCTATCCGCAAAGCGGCTGTGCGATCCTTGCAGGAAAGCGGCCGCGAAAGAACCGGATTCAAGCGTAGGCACCAACATGCGAAAGCGAGAGGGTCTTGCCAACATTCGGGCGGGGTAGCTCCGCTCCTACAAGCCATTTGCAGGGGAGACGGACGGAAACAGTGGAAGCTAGGTTCGGTCCAATGTGTGCCGTTTCCGCTTGTTCCCATTGAGTTCCACGACCCGAAGCAAGCGGAGCTTGTTGAGCTCGGCTGCGCAGCCAGACACAAAGCTGGATGGTCCGAAACTGTCGCGAGATTCCTGCTTAAACGTCCAACTCCTGAGGCTTCGCAACCTGTGCCCGGCGGCTGTTTGCATGTCAGCATGTCAGCTGAGGTCGGCACTACGAGGCCAACGGCAGCTGCAGCCAGCCGGATTGTTGGTTTGCTCACGGTGCTGCTCTCAGTGACCAGCGCAAGTCGTGGGAGGGCGGAGCCCGCTTGTGTAGTGAACTTGACTGCACGCAAGGCGAGCATGATGTTCGCGAGGAGCCAATGCCTCTGAGTCGGGGCATGTCCAGAAGTTTATGCAGTCTGACTCCTCGCAGCCTTAGCAGTTAAGCCTGAATGCCTAGACAGGCCAGACTTGAGATCACGACAGGAACTCGTAAAAGCGACCATCACCCTCAGCAAGTGCTCGGCGGACTCCATTCCGGACTGGGCTGCCGATACCGAAGTCCCGTTGGATGTTTTCTTTGCGGCTTCGTCCCCAGATTTCTGCCACGACAGCCGCAGCTGCAAGCGAAGTGCGATGCAGAACTTGTCGAGGCAATTTACACCCGGGACTTGCGGAGCCTGAAAGGCATCAAAGACTCCGCTAACATTGCGAAGGATCATCAAAAGGCTGCTTGGCTTCCAAGCAGTGCTCGTTTCATGTGCTGCCTTTGCCATATTTGGCCATGATCATGGTATCTTGTCCATCTGTGTGTAAGGGAACTAGTGCTTCATTCTGCGCTTTTCAAAAATTTAGCAGCAGAGGACGGCCGGAAGTCCATCATAAATCGGCTGCTCTTCAAGGCTGGAGGTGGGACGCACGGTTTGAGTCAGAATCGTACTCTCAGCAATGCTGCAGTTGTGGCATCTTATAGATGCATAAGGAGAGCAATGCGCATAGTCGTTGAGTTGTTGATGAGAGCAAGCAACATTAGTGATGACGAAACCGAGAGGTTCATGAATCGCAATGACAGCAACACATGTTCAAGAACAAATCAAAGCGACAGGGATACTCGTAGTTGGCACGTTGCTGAAAACGGAGAACACAGGAGGGACATGGCTGCAGTAAGCTGCTTTACTACTAGCATCTTGCGATGCCGGGTATTCGGTCAAAAGCGGTAAATGACAATTTTGCGAAGATGCCTGTTGTGGCGGTACTAAGCGGAGGCAGTAGCTGTGATGCATTTGATAAGGCATGAAGTAGCAGAGTCGGATCAGAAAACTGTAAGTACCCGAGGTGCATGGATGCCGGTAGTGTCATGATATTTGGCTATCCTCAGCTCTGACTACTTCTGATGCTTGCAAAGCAATGCCAGGGTCCCAGCACCGGCTCTTATCTTCTTCTCCTCAGTATCGTCATCATGGCCATCCCATCCGCGTCGTTTAACCGCTGGCGCGAGAGCCGCCCCTTCAAGAACAAAGACGGGTGTCCTCAGCCGTGTTTCAGCGCGGCACCCAGCAGTGTGAGGGTCCCTTCGAATCAGGTCAAGACGCCCGAGCCCTCCGGCTTCGGTGGATTATCAGCATGACCATCATCATCACCCTGGCTGCCGCCACCATCCGCCTCCACCATCTGGAACCACTACCACCACACTTTTCCTTGTCCTTCTCTTCGTTCGCATCAGAATCGTCACCACCACCACCACCACCACCATCATCATCATCATCGTCATCGTCAATGTGTAGATCTGTCTCAAAGCTGGAAAAGGTGCCGGGGGCCATGCTCACTGGCAGGACGACCAAGCCGATAGCCAGAGTGTTGGTGCCTTGTCAGGATAATGCAGGGCAAGGGTTGTGGCAAAAGGTTTTGAGGATTGCGCCTTCGCGCAGCAGCCGTGTCTGCACAGGCCCCTGCTGAGTTGTAGTAGGTTCCCTGCCACTCATGCGCTGGTCAAGTATGCTCTCCTACTGGCAGGTATGCACTTGGTGCGTTTTGCTGGGGTTCTTTGCCTTCTCACAGAGATGTGGCACGCAGGCTCAAGCCTCGCGTGTTTGGTTAAAACCTGTGCAGTCTCGCTCCAGTCCCCTCCCTTGTCTCTGAAGCCATCTACTGTACTTGAATTCAAGTCTAACGCAAAGTAGTTCAAAACAGGAACCTGCGATGCCACAAGGCTCAACTACTATCGAGGGCCTGGCTCCACTCAACACCTTCCAGCAGAAAGGCTTAGATCTGGCCTTAAAGGACCCGGGACGAGAGTCCTTCGGAGGTGTTTTGTAGTGTCAGCGGGCTGGACACTTCTCTCAGGAGCCCCTTGCCTACGTCCAAGGCACGCCGTCCTTCTTTGCCCCTGCCTAGGCCGTGTAACACCCAGCCTTGAGGAGATTCTTAGAGTTTAGAGTCTAAGAGGATTTTGCAGCGTCAGAGCCGGTGGCTGAGACACGGAGGAGCATGAGTATGCGAGGCCCACCTGGCACGGGAAAGAGCACCACGGCAGCTTATCTTATCTGCCACTTCTTGCAACGGCTGAGAAGTTACCAGAAGGCGCGGGTCTCCGCATCTGCACCGGTGAAGATGTCTCTACGGGCTTACACGGATTGCACCATGGGGGCGACCCAGACTTGCACGTTGAAATCCTTTGTTTCAGATGATCTTCGAGAGATCAGCATGGCTTCAGTGGAGAGCGGATCCAATCTGCGAATGCATGTCATTTCAGCGCCTGCCACGCAGGGACGTCCAGAAGGACCGATGCTGCTCGTTTGTTGCCCATCCAACAAGGCAAGCGATCTCAAGACATTCAGCCACATGAAAGCAGGTCTGAACGCAGCGCGTTGGGGCTTAAGGGTTTCAGGGTTTAAGGTGTAGGGTTCAGGGCTTGGCAAATTCGGAGCCTGAGCCTCGATACGCTGTAGCTGTCCGAAGAGGCCTGCGATCGGCTGCTGCAGTTGCTCTCGCGCACGAACATCGCGGACACTGTCCGGTGACTTGGCGAACCAGTGGCTGTTCCGCAACAGTGTGTCCTGTCCAATCGATGCGACAAATCTGCGAGGATTGTTCGGGTCTATGCGGCATCCATCGAGCGCTCATACTGGTCGCTGCCGAATGCACAGCCTCCGGCCAGCAACACGTGCCTGCACCCAGCAGGCTCTGTTGGCGTGCTGCAATTCTGCAAGGTTTCACAGGGACTACCAAATCGACCCGGCCTTGTGCAAATATGCTCTGCTTCTGAGCTTGCACTTATACAAAGGGTCTTGCAGAGGTGACCCTAAACCTAGAGATGTGCTGAGGCACGAGCAAGTGAAGAAAGAGGATACGGAACTCTACCAGTGCTTCCAGGCTAAGGGAGTTGCAAAGTCTCTCATTGCGGCTCATTGCGGCATCATCCATTTGGGCCAGATGGTGGTAACTAGTGCAATCTGGCTGAAACGATCCCGTGGCATGTCTGGTTTATTCTGGTGTCTCGTAGCTTGCTATGCCCAATGACGAGTGTGTCACCCTTGCATGCAGGACATCGCATCCCAGCTACAAGACGCCGGTGTCCGTATCTTGGTAAGATAAGTTCCGATGGAGATGCGCGCTATGCGAACTTGTTGGAGTGTCCAGATGACTCACAGGAAAGAGCTTTTTTGGCATCGGGGTGCAGAGTCCAAATCTTACGAGGTAAAGACCTTCTGTCCGAACGGCTTAAGCTGCACGAGAAGCTTAAGGAGGCATCAGCTTTTCTCCGCCTCTGATCTGTGCCAGATCACCGCCCTGGCAGGCTCGGCAGCAGAAAGACAGGCTGTCCAAGAAGCTGCTCAAGCAGGTGCAACGGGCAAGTTTGTCAAGACAGGTCCGAAGTGGCCAGCGTGAGAGGCCCATGTGATCTTCTCCACTTGTGACTGTGCATGCAACGACAAGCTCTTTGAGAAGATGACATATCCAGCAGTCGTCAGGAGCTCAAAGCGCTGCTACAGTGTGCGACTGTTGGGCTGCACAGCCTTTCCTCTGCTACGCAGAGGTCATCGACGAAGCCGCACAGGCGGTGGAGCAGCTTGTCTGGAAATTGTCGCCAACGTGAACCCTGAGTTTGCATCCGTTTGCCGGCCCAGGTTCGAGCTCGCCAGCTGCTGTGTTCTTGCGGAGGAGCTTGGGTTTGTGAGCAAACTCTCTTTCGGAATCTCGCGTGACATGTTCCATAAACAGAGCGCCGCGGCTTGGCCAAGGACCACCTGGCCCTGTTCGGCGACCACTTGCAGCTCGGTCCCGTTCTGACGGAGACAACCCTCTTTCCAGCCTTCAGGCGGATGTTCACCAGCGCCTTGGGCCTGCTTTAGGCTTCTCTGGATAAGACCAGTTTCATGACTGAGAGCGGCAGTTCAGAGCCAGGATCACTCTTCGAGCGTGTTGTCTCGAAACGGCGGGACCAGAACACGTCCTCGGGAATTCCACATGTCACACTGAAAAGGTGGGGCCCGTAGGAGATGATCTTCCCATGGCAACGGGCTTCCTCACGCAAAGCTTGCACGAGTAGACATCGTGTTGGTTTGGACTGCTATGGGCATCGCTGTGCAGGCAATATCGTATGCATCCGTCGATCAGTTGGTTTGCGAGCGAGGAGTTCTACGACAACGAGCTGCTTGTTTTCTATCCATCTTTTCTTACGAATACATTCTTGCGGTGAAACGAGGCTTCCACCGTTAGTTCACACAGGGCTTGAACGGTTGCAGTCTCCCGACACAGAGGCTTGTCAATGCCCCGGAAACTGCCCGCGACGGCTTCACTTTGCCTTCAGCGTCAGACTCTCGGCTTGTGGTCGTGGACGTGACAGGCCCGCGCCGCACTTCACTTCACCGTTCCTTACACTCTACAGCCTTACAGCCGCGGAACGGCGTGGCCCCGCTTGCGAGGGCCTCACGGCCGCCGTACGGTGGCTCCAGAGGGTGATGCGGTGCTCGACTACGAGCACTCCTTGTGCAACCCTGCAGAGGCTTTGGCGGGAGCCTTGCTTTTCGATGCCCAGGGACCTTGCCCATCATGTCACGAAGCAGGCTGCTGTCGTTGTGGACTACGTTCGCTGGCTGCTGAATTTGGGCGTAGAGAGTGCCAGCATCGCCGTCATTACGCCCTACCGGGAAGCTTGGCATTCAAGGTCCACTGGTCCACAAGTCGCAGTAGTGATGCTTCGCATGCGGGTCCGGGCATGTGTTTCTTTGGGTTTCAGGCGAGACACATGGAAAAGCAGCTTGTTCGAAGCTTCCACTCAAGTCTAAGGCACAAGCAGCTCTGCGACTTATCTGAATTGCTTGCCGCCTGCTTGGCATGATCCGTCCAGGAGCTGCCGTTCCGAGCATTGAAGCCGAGCTGAGGATCACAGAGCAGCTGGCCGAAGTCTCGCCCATGCCCACGATTGGAACAGTGCAGCTTGTCCTCTTGACGTCACTGGCGTGTCTGTGTTCTTTGCTGCTGAGTTTCCAGATACATCGGCACCATGACTTGCATGAAATCCGGGGACCATTATATTAAAAACAAGTCAAGCACACATGAAAGCATACAGCTGTGGCACCATGTCGCTCTTCTACGTGCTCTTCCGCGACTTCCCATTCCACGGTTGCATGCCTTCTCTGGGTCTTGAGGCACCTGCTTCAGGGCGAGGAACGTGAGTACGTCTCCTGGCTCGAAGGGTGATTTCACGCCTGAACGACTTCAATCTATCAAGTGCAGAGTTTTGACGACAGCCGCTGAGGTCGCCCTGTCGCTTGTCCGGAGCTTTGCAGAGGCAGACACGGAGGCATCCAGCAAAGCCTCGGAATTTGCTCATGACAAGCACCCCTTTGCCAAAGAGGCAACACGCGGCTTCAGACCTACATTTACACTCTGAGTCATTTGTGAGGTGTTCGACCCCGTGCCTGCGTCACTGCGCCGAGCAGCCGGGCACCAGCTGGGCTTCTTGAAAGACCGGCAACTTGACACAAAGGAGGCGAGATGAAGCTGAAAAGCATGGCAGAGCACCAGAGGCGACTTGCAAACGTGGCACTGACCCGGGCGCAACTGGGGCTCCTAGTCGTCGGCAACATGCAGGCCAGTCCTTCTGATTCTGCTGCTGTCTCAGCGGCTAGTTCCTGCTTCTTTGCACTGCCTCCTATGAACTGATGCGCAGGTGCTGTCTGGGGCGTCGCATTGGAAGAACCTGGTCCAGCATGTGAAAGTGGAGCATGTGAATGCGTACTGGACGGAGGCCTATTGAATTCGCAACCCTGTTGTTTTTGGAAGGGGGTGGAATGAACCAATCTGGCAGTGTGCAGTACTGTCAACTGTAGCATACTGTAGCCTTGATTGTTTGGGTTTCAGAGTTTTGATGTGGTTCATCCATTGCCTCACAAGGGCTGTTTGAAGATCTCGCCTTTCAGTTGGTCAGCTTCGGCCTAGCGCAGCAACAAAACCAGGTTCCGGACCACGTTAGGCACTGCCGAGAACCAAAGACCAAGGGAAAACACTCCCAGCCAAGCCAATCGCTCACGGCATGCGGCAGGCGGATGCCCGACACTTCTTGAAGACCAGCAACTTCAGCGAACCAAGTCGTGGTGCAGGGTGTTGGGAACAGGACTGCAGGCTTGGGTGTGGCGTTGGTAGTTGAGGCTGAGGCTTTATGCCTTCAGCGCAGGATCCTGGCATCAGCGGCTCGGAGTCCGAAGGCCTTCCCCACGCTTGGCATCCCACGTCTTGCCATGCCATCCTCAGTGCCCTGGCCCTCAGCATCTGTTAGCTTCAGGCGGCGATCAGGATTCTTCGGGAGGTGACGAGGAGAGGCGGTTCCAGGGCAAGTAACTGGCTCTCGCAGAGCCTTGTGTGGTCTCAGGAGCAGGACCCTGACGACGAGCCTGATGCCTTCGAAGGCCTGGCGACGTTCCGATTGCCAACACTCTGAACCTCAAATTCTGGCCAGATCCGGTACTTTCTGCCAGCGAAGAAGAGAGTGCTCCACCGGTTGCTCCGCGAGTGGGGGCGAGGAGACAAAGGCAGCGATCTGCATATTGGATGCTCGGACGCCTTCTGTTCCACCGTCAGATGGTTTCAGAGCGGAAGGTGTTTCAAGAGCTGGCCGTTCCCGCTTCATGTGCCAGCTTTCGGTGTAGTTGAATGGGGTGCGCTGCAAGCGGCGAACTCCCTGAGTTACGAGCACGCAGGCGCAAAGGGAAGAACAAAAAGAAGATTAAACAGGCCGGGCATCCTTGAACTCTGCCTGCTACTGGCCGCCATCGCAGCCTGTGCAGTTTGAGATTCGTGAAGTTACCAGGCTTTTGGTGTTTCGCAGGCAGCTCCGCAACTACAAAGTGACAATGGGAAGGAAGACAAGGTGCTGGAAGTCTTGGCCTTGGGCTTGTCGGCTGTGCTTTCCCTTGCCAGGCTCTCGAAATCTATCTCTCCCTGTCTCTCCTTTCTTTCTCTCTCCCATTTCCGGCTTTGTTCCCTTTTGGCTGGGAGACAACCTTGCTACAAGGAGGCGGCGGCCGCAGCGGCCTCCGGTGCCTCCTCCTGCGCGTCCCCCTCGATGGCTACACCGGCGGCCACCAGTGAGGCCTCGGAGTGTGTGGTCCGAAGCTGTCGGAGGAGGCCCGGTCTTGAAAGACCCTGGGATTTTGGTCGATGAACGCTGGAGCGTTCAGCGCAGGCCGCACAGGCCGCACAGGCATTCGCCCTTTGCATCCCAGCACGGCCTGTGAGCCTTGCTTGAGATCAGTGCAGGTGAGGTCCAGTTCCGGCATACGAGTGACTGGAGCGAGGCTGCGGCTAACTTGTCTCCGAGGTGCTGAGCATTGGGCTGAGATGTTGAAGGAGAGGGACATCTTGCAGCGAGAATTCAACGGAGGCTGTGGGCTCTGCAGAGCTTGGCTTTCTCAGATTGGTTGGTCCCGGCTTGCGAGGCACATTGCTGGACAGATTTGTCTCGCCACATTATTGGGCACCGCCACCTCCAATCCTGCTGAAGGAGAAGCATCACAGCAGGTTCATTGCGGTTTGCAGCACATCGTCATGCGGTCACGAATTCATAGCAGCTTGCGGACCAGTGGCCAGGCCCTTCTTTGCGGGGCTATTATGCTTCCTCGACGACGATCGCCCGAAGAACAGACTCTTCGCATCATATTTTCTGGTCTTGAGCGTCTTCGCCTTGGAGCAGCAGAAAAGCACAGCGGCGCAGATTCCGACGAGGCAGGGATGATGATGGACTGGAGTTGCTGAGCAATGCGCCCAGAAAGTTCAACCGTAATACACTTCTGATTGCACGCTCCCTGACTTCTGCTTGCATCTGATTTTCTGGGATCCGTTGTCAGGTTAGCATCCTGGAAAGAGGAATTCCCCATGGTGGGCCCTCTTTTTGCAGTTTTGGCTCTCGCCGACCCGGGGCCTGATGTAGTGGAGCCGGTTCCTTCGTAGGTCGGCTTCAAGTTGTGGCAATGCCTCTGAGCTGTTTGTTTTCTTTGCCTGGTGCCAGTGTGGAGAAGGTGTCAGCAGTGCCTTCAATGTATTCGGGCTCCCAGGACTGCGCCACCTTGGGCGATCTTCCAGAAGAGCTGCAGGTGCGTAAACCCTGGCGCCTGAACCAACGCTTGCTTTGTGAATTGAACTGCCTGCTGGAGGGCTTTGTTGACTGGAATCGAGTGTGCGTTCTCTCGACTTCACGGCTTGCTCTGCTTTGGCCGACTCTCCCCAGATCTATGTTTGCAGGCTCGCTGGCGCTGCGTTGAAGACTCGTGGCAGAAGTCCCAACGCAACTCGATCTCCCCTGGCACTGACGTGGGTCAAGATGACATCAATGCGGAGCATGCCGAGGAGCTGGTTGTTATGCTTTGGAAGTTGGGCAAGTTTCGGCTTCGCACATGCCTAGGCACTTGGCAGGGGGTGGGTCATTCTTGCTTCACTTCAATGCATCGTAAATGTTCATGTCTTTGATGGCAGCAGTCAGATGCATTCAGAGCGTCACAAGGATTGCAAGCTACCTTTGGGCGAGCTGAAAATCAATCACTTCTGGCCCGCATGAGGATGTATTGGCTGTCGCAGCATTTTGGAAGCACGAAGGCGACGCCGGCTTGCCCGTGTGACTCCCGGCGCGAGGAGATGAACACGCGTTGTGCCCCGCTTTTGTGCGTAGCTGGCGAAAGTTCCAGGCAACGAGTGTCTCAAGAAGGCGGACTTGGATGGGGCCAGAGAATGCTACAGAAGCTTGGCTTGAAATCCATGTGGCCTTTTTCCGCGCCTGCAGTTCCCCAGAGGTGAGGGCAACAAGCTGATCAAGGAGAAAGCTTGCACGTTCGCGGGCACATTTCGGAACGCCGCGTGCAACTGTCGGACCTGTGAGAGGAGTTGCCTCCAGCCTTTGTGGCAGACGACAGGGTTTCGAAGGCTATGGAGCTCGAGGCAGATCTCCTGAACAACTTCGCGCACGCACTACTAAAGGCGCCTTGTTTCGAATGGAACCAGGCTGTTTCCATGAAGGCCGGGGTTTGGCGACTGGGAGCGATCATTTCGAGGCTTGCCAGGGGACTGTAACACGGTAACAGTTGGGGTAACAGAGGCGGCAGGCTCAGGGCCGAAAGAACCCTGGCCGGACCGGCTGCCAGCTCGGACCTGGCAAAGTCCTAAGGCCCGGCATCACAACAACAACAGTGGGGGGGGCAGTCTGTCACTCCTCACTCCCGCTTCTCGAAGCTCCGATCCTGCCACACCAACTATTTATGATCGGGCTGTGTCCGATCTTGTTGGGCCATCCCTAAACTTGATCGGGACTAGAGCTGACGGCACTGCTCTGCCGAGATGGGTCGACCGCAGGAGGCCTTCTCGTCGCTGAGTTGCACATAAGACGGAAGCCTGAAGAGCCTCACCGACAGAGTCAGCCTGCAGTCTCAAGGAGACGTCCAAGAGCTCGGTGTTTCTGAGATGCATGTTCCACATGGAGCCGCGTTCCTGAAACCCCGATGCAGGTGAGCATCTTGAACACGCGTCTAGAATCTAGTTTTTGCGCGATCAGTAGGGTTGTCCATGCCCCTCCACGCCCCGGAAGTCGCAGCCCGACCTGAACCCTTTGCCAACCACCAACCTTGTAAAGCAACCACATGACCCGAAGGCATAAGCTCTAAAAGCCGAAGCCATCTAATCTCTAAACCCTAATTAAGCCTCAGGTCGGCAACCGAAGCTTTGGAGATCTACGAAGAGTTAGGGTCAGGCTCGGATACTTTTCTGCGCACACTTGCAAACGGTCGTTTGCGATGATGTGGAGAAGATCGGTTGATGCAAGTTCGACCTCGTGGTCTGATGTGTTCTTACTGCCTAATAAATGGAATGCTGAACACTCTAGCCTAGCTTCTGACCGTATTTGCATTTCCGCCTTAGCATCCTCGCTGTTTGTACACAGGCATTCACCCGCCCCTCTGAACCAACATAATCTGGATTTTTCAACCCTGCCCCAGATGAAATAGCCAGACCCAGTATATCGGCGATTAAGTCTCGAACAAGATATGTGCAGCTACACCAATCGACGCGAACCGCATACCGGAAGAGACACAACTGTTGTGTCTGTTGTGGACCTGATGCAGGGCGCTGACGAGCCGCCTCTAAATCCTAAACCCTATGTTTTATGTAGGGAATATGCATCTTGGGGCGACCTCGAGTTCAATACCAGCTTATCAGTGCGTCTGGCGTGTTCAGGGTTAAGGGTTAGGGAAGACTATTTGAAGTTTAGGCTTTAGGGGAAATATGTCTTGGAAAGATGATGGGTTCAGTGGAACGAACAGATTTGTTGGCAACATCCACACGTGCTCCTAGGAGTCCACACCCCGCAAAGCGATAGCCCCTTAATGTTTTGGCGGGTTGTGCTTGTATGACTGTTGTGTGACTGCAGATTCTGGATGCTCAATACATTGAACAGCGCAGAGCCTTGTGCAGCGGTCTGGCCTTTTCCATTGCAGTATGTTCGAGTTCGCTTTGCTTGCACTGCTTGCGGCCATCACTGGAGTCCTTCAAGGATGCTTTCTGTCCAGTGGTGGATCCTGCCACTGGGATGCAGTTAGGAATCCCACATTCAATCCCTGACCAGAACAGGAGCATGTCTCAGAGGCCGCAATCCCCACACTGCAGCTACCCAGTAGGATGAGAAAGAGCGACACGTGCCCGCTCCCAGCCCAAGGCAACCTGTATTATTCTCTTTGGGAAATCCTTGCGCTTTGACAGCCATACAGGTGATGAGACGATGATGAATGAATGCCTGGACAATACGACGGCTGCCGACTTCGGTCCGTGCCTGAGTATTCCGAGCAACTCCAAGCTCTAAGCCTGTGAGCCCAGTTAGCTTTGGGACTTGAATTCCAAAATCAAGAGTCGACACTCGAAGCTCGGATGCCCTGCGCAACAGCTGCGTTGGATGGATTTGTGTAGCAGCAGGGAGGGGGCAGAGTGTAGTGGGATTTAATTTAGGGGGCAGGATTCAGGATTTAGGGTTTTAGTGCCGCGTTCCGCGGTGGAGGCTTTTGTTCGTATGGACTTGGGTCAACGGCTTTGTTTCACTGATTCTCGGTGCAATGCGGGGCCGTGGTATGCCCTCGAGACTGTATTCTTGCAAACCTCTAAGCCCTTCACCTAAGAGGCTTCCAATCTCGCCACCCGAAGCCTAACCGTCCAAAAAAATCTGCATTTCTCCCCGCTTGCCAGCTCAGGTGTGTGCGATCTAGCACTCCGGAAGAGGGACTGCGTCGTGAACAACAAGTGCTGCCGGTTGGCCCTCCCCAACAGCGGAAACCGGAGATTCTGGAGCGATCATGTCTCCGACTGGATCGATTACAAGCTACAGAGAAACGGTACGTGCGATTTCAGTCACTTGATGACATGCAAGGAGGACCCGATACCTGTCTGTTCGCATACGTCAGATGTCATGTGCCCTGACTAAGAGGTTTCACTTGCTTCTTTGCATGAACATGCGCTGCACACGTGGCTACGTGCCCTGCAGTTTTGTGCAGCTCGTTGTTCCAATGTACTGATCTTAGATCCAAACAGCGGAACCACGTCAAAACGGCACAACGACAGCGGCAGCGATATGGGTAGCTTTCGCTTGCCCTGGCTGCAGTGGCGGCTGGAAGAAACGAGCGACAGCTGTGATATGTTTGTATCAAGGGTCGTGCAAAATCAGTCTCCTACTCTCAAAGGGCTTGGTACAGACAGGGTATGTTTTTTAGTTGAGGGATTTCGGGGGGTTTTGGGTCGATGGGTTGTTCCTCTGGACTTGTTGGAAGCAAATGGGGACACGGAACACAAGATTCAGGGACTAACAGTTAGGCATAGTCTTGTTGTTTTGCATGAGTGGGCGTATGGCTTTCCTACGGGTGTGGGGGGAAGGTTTCTTGTAAGTGAGGTTGGGGCTGCAGGTGAGGAGGTTTGCAATGAGGGATTCGGCAGAGCTGGCAAAGGGGATCCGACGACAAGACCCGTGCTCACACGGTGCACCTGCACTCGCCTCCTAAGCACCCACCCTTGCGGGTTTTCAGTGTTGTTGCTCGGATGTTTCATTTTTCCCCCAAATGTGCCGCAACAGGTGTCACTGCCAAGCGCGTGAAGGCCCTTTATCGCTGTGGAACAGCCTGCATTGCGCCTGGACGTGCAACTTTTGGGTTTTGGGCTGCTAGGAACTGGAAGCAGTTCAAGAGCCAACTGGCGGCGTTGACCCTTTCTCTGAAGATTACCGCTGTTGACAAGCTGGCACGTTTGGAGTTGACGGCCTGGCATCAAACGTCACCGACACGTTAGAAACCAAATCCCCGAAAGCCCCAACAGGCTCCAGAAATACGAACACGATCAGAATCACAAACCCACACACCCATACACATACTGTCCTTGTCGTACAGAGGTCCAGGGAGACTGTGGAAAGGCACGCGACTATTTCACTTGGGCTCTTCGCCTGGATCCGGCTGCCCGAACTGAACGGGTGGTTCTGAGAGTTGTTGAAGGGCTCAGCGGGTTGCAGGGTTGCGGGGGAACAAGACTTGCGCGAATCAATTACTTTGGTTTTGTCTAGGAGAACTTGCTAGCATATGTTGTCACTGTCGTAAGGCCAACGACGAGGTGCACAATGCCATGCGTTTGCTTGGACCTCCGGCTTCCCGGCAGAACGCACCTTTCGCTCCGTAACTTTGCAGCCTGTGGCGCTTCCGTGGCATCGAAGCCTGAGGTCCGCCGGTGTTCTAAAGTTGTGTTGCCGTGAGTCCTGAGCTTGGCAGCCGTTTTACGTGGCTCGAGTGTCCGGGCTGGTGGTCCAATGGGCGGCAAGGCACTGGCTTAAAGAAGTTTTCGTGTTTCATTGGTTGAACAGATTCGTGGCTCCAGGTTGGCAAAGCATGCTGTGCCATTACTGGCAGGTCAGAGTACGAGGACAGCCTGGTGTGTGTCGATGTGTTGTGCAACGAGCATGCAGCAACCTGTTTGACGACCGACGCCAGGATGCGAACCACGTACTGACGCCAGACGCCGACAAAGACGGGAGGCAACTTGTTCAAGTCGACCCGAGTGTGATTGATGAAGTCGCAGCCGTGCTCTTGAAGGAAGGAGGAGACATTGGAGTGGCTGAACGAGCTCGTTGCGCAGCTGTGGCCGAACATTAACAATGCGGTCCAGAAGATCGTTCATGAGCAGGCCGCGGAGAAACTGGATCGCTTCCTCTGCAGAACTGCAAGCACCAACATCCGCGAGGTCACACCGCAGCTGCAGGCGAGCCTCCCGAGCTTCTTGAAAGGCGCGGCAAGCTTCGCGAATAGGTCTGCCTGCAGCAGTACCTTGATCCGGCTTTTCTTGCCTGCATCTTCACTGCTGTCAGCTGCTGGAGCATGCATCGGGGCCATGCCATGCTTCGTCCCATCGAGCCCACTAGGCACACACTTCAAGACCTTCACGCTTGGAACGATCACCCCGAAGTTTGGGCCGATCGAGCTTGTCAGCCGCAAGGTGGATGAGGGGGCAGCACGAGAGCATTCGACAACAATGTAGAAAGTTCTGACGACTCCGTCCCGGGTCTGATTCCTAGGTGCGTTTACGGTCGGTTCCGTAGACATCTAGTAGGACTCATCTAAGAAAGGCTCAGCCCGCATCCAAACGCATCGAGAAGTAAATGATTATGGGTGTTGTGCTTAGAGCAACTGTATAGCAAGCCGAGCACTGAACAAAGATCCCTTCTTTCTTTCGGAACTACATAATAAAAAGACACCGCATGAAGCCTTGCAGCACGGGTTGAAGCTCAACCTGCACTTGGATTACGAGTCGAATGTGGACATCGAAGTCTCTGCCGTGATCGCAAGCTCCATGGCTTTTTGCCGAGTCGGGTTGGGGGTTCGGGGCACACTGGGACAGATTGAACTAGACAGCTGCAATTCACGAGTTCGGCCGGCACTATTGCAACCAACTTTCCTGGTTGTGAGAGAGTCCGTCCAACTGCCTCCAAAGCACCGTGTGGAAGGGATGTGTGCAAACTCCCCAGACCGCTCGGCAAAGGTATTGGTATCAAATCCATCCGCTTGCGCGGGGAGCTGGTGCTCAGACTAGAGCCACTGATCCATGAAACTCCGGTGGTCGGCGGCTCCTTGCCCGCAAAGCTTTTCATCCATTCCGGTACGTGGTTCTTCGGCTTACAGCTGAGGAAAGTCTGTAAGTGGGAGGCAGAAACTACTAGCTGGGTGAATAGAAGAGTATCTTGATTGGCTTTTCTGCTGCCAGCTCCGCTAAAGCTCGTTGACTCGTGTCGTAACTCGTCGCTCTTGCTCGTCGTTTTCTTCTTCGCTAGCAAGACTTCTTTCCAGACCGGTGAAATGATCTGGTGAGGGCCAGCGCGACCCAGGCATCACCGTCTTCTTCAACGATCCGCCAGAGCTGGCCACTCGAAATCAAGTTCGGTGGTCTTGGAGCTCGATTTAGAATTAGACTGCGGCCGAAGAAAGCAAGGTCCAGACCCTGCACCTGTCCCTGTCGCATTCAGGGCCTGGACTTCACCGGGATAGCCAACCTGGCAGACGTGCCCGGCATTGCAGGCATAATCCGCCACCAGATCAACGCGGCCATCAGCGCCCTGGGCTTCACTTCGGACCCTTGCACCTACAGCTTCACCCAGATCAAGCAATTAGGTAAAGGCGCAGACACGTGAGGCTGTTCCAGTATCCCCTGAGTGGATGAGCCTCCGGTGCTGAGGCAATGCCATGGTCCTGCCAAATGTCATTGCCGTGACTTGGACAGCTATTTGCTGCTACGGGACCCGCACGTCGGTTGCCGAGCCAACTCGGTGCCTGGAGCTCTGGAGAAGCTTCTTCAGGGAGTCCAAAGAGTTGACAGGTAGCTCCCAGTGATAATGGTTATTTATCAGGCACTGGTCCAAACCGACATCTGGCGATCGGAAGAGCAATAGGCGCCAAAAAGCACCCACGGTGATGCTGATGATTTTTGCCGGCGCAGCTGCGCTGTAGTGCACATCGCGAGAATACAATAACGCAACCCTGTGATGCTGATGTCTTTCTTTGCCAGAACTACGTCGGGGCGGCATTTGTGAGTCTGGAGGTTTAGAGAATCTCTAGCCTGCCGAGCTCCAACAGCTCGCGCTTCTGCTTATGGTCCTTGCTACTGTAGCTCGTCTCAAATCGTTGGCAAATGGGCGGCTGCAATGCCATGCAGAAGCCGGGATACTGATTGCTGGGCCCAGTTGCCCTCCTATCAGAGATCCGAAATGGCCCTGGGAGATGGTGAACCGTCCCGTGGTCCCGGTGATGAAGGGTCCCAAGTGTTCACGAGGGTTCATGGTGCCCTGGAGATGATTTTTGGGAAGTCGCTCAGGTGCCCATCGCAACGCCGGCGCAGGGCGTCGACATGGCACGGAGCCAAGCTCCGAGCTGTGAGCCTGTGCCTCTCTGAGCTCCGCCGGACCCGGAGGCAGATCTCGTGAAGCCACTGCCCCTGGCCGTCTTGCGCGTGGCTTCGTTCGCAGCCAGGAAGCCGGAGTAGCCTTGTGTGATCTTGTGTGTCACGCCGAGGTGACCGCAGTCCGCGCGAAGGACATCACAGCCAAAGACTGGCACCTGCTGGGCAAAGCCAGCAGCGACACCTATGTGACTTTTTGCTTCACTAGACTTCAGAATCGGTTTGTCAACGTGGGTCGTGGTTAACGGTGGGCCGCAGCTGTGCAAGCCATCTTGAGCTGGCTGTTCAGACCTTTGATCAGGGTGTTGGATGTCGATCTTGATGATGCTATCCACACCATGACCGTTCACCCAATGCGGCAAGCTTGGATGAACGTTAAATGACACGGAATTCCAGGTTTACACGAGCACGGTCCTGTCTAAGGAGGGTCTCCTTGGCCAGCGACTCCTGGAACTCCTCTGTGCAGAAGCGAACCTGCAATCCGGCCGCCTGGTCAACAACAGAGAACTTGTCGCCGGCAGTGTATCGCACCGTGCAGTGATAACAATCTTGGGCAGCAAGCCGTGCTTGTTTGGTCATGTTTGAGTCCCTGTGCCTGCTGATGCTGTGATCTGTCTCACCAAGGTTTGGGGTGAGGGGGACTTCCACGACTTCATGGTGCCTTCTCGCTTGTTTCGAAGGTACCTGAAGGATTCTGCTTCGATTTTGGGATTTAGGCAGATCTCAGACTTTCAGGATTGGTGAATGAAGAAGGTTGCCTTGCACCATGTCGCACCCATCGTTTGGTTGACAGGGTAAGCAACACAGCGCGGCTGGCTCTGAAAAGCCCTCGGCCAAACGAGGTCTTCGATCATGATCAACGTCTCTGCATCGAAGCTCCTGTGGCCGCAAGAGAGATAGCACCTGTGTCCCTCATGAGGGTAACCCGGTGAAAGCCAAATGAGGATCAGTTGTCCTGATTTTTTGGGGTCTCGGTGGGGAGGCTCCCAGTTCATGGGAGGATCCGAGCCAAGTTTCCCAAGGGGGCGCGAGTGTATGATCAACCCTCGCTGCAACCGAGTTTCACTTCGGACAGGCCACATGCAAGACATGAACTCGATAAGTCGATAACCTACTGAGATGCTCCAAGTTCAGGTCTACGATAGTGACTATCTCACCAACTCGGACTTCATCGGCAAACCGAAGTGGCCAATCAAGGCCAATGCCAAAAGCTGTATCTGTGTCTGCGCCTGTCTGTGTGATTCCTTGTGGAATGGAGCCCGCCGAGACCCTGGGCAGGCCAGTGAGGCAGTTCGGAACTCCAGCGTGCCGTTGCCCCTCGTCGCACCTCGGCTACGAGGCTCCTTGTCGGCTGCTCTAGAAGTTTCGATTGCTCTGAGGATCCAAAGTCTCCAGAGGAAAAGTGTTGTGGAACGCTGGAGATGAAGTTTGAGTGGCTGCAGCTATCTGCATGGGATGCCAGCACGGCAGACACTGGGCTCGGAGTTGAGTTCTAAGGGTTGCCACAGATCCCCTTCAGCTTTCGTCGCATCCCGCAGCGAAGCCATGCCCCCCAAGGCCAAGGCCAAGGGAACTTTGGTAAAGCTGGGCGTCAACCGGATGACCTTCCCGCCATCCTTCGGCAAGTCGGCTGCGGTCTTGGTCAAGCTTGGAGACCAGGACCCGGGGCGGTTGAGTTAAAGACCCAGAGCCGCTTCAGAGACATGACACGAAGACCGCTTCACAGCGAGGAGAGGACCTCCAAGGTTCACAGAATCAAAGAGCCCTCGCCTCTCGGACATGTTGATGCGTGACAGTCGGACTGGAAAGATCGATCAAGAGTTTTTGCGGCCTGCGGGCCTGCTGAGTTGCGCCTCGTAGCAGTCGCTGCAGCATAGGTTGTAGCAAATTGCGCAGCTGCCACAGGCCACATGTGACACTGTTTCCTGCTAAGGCATACCGGACGGGTGAAGACACTCCTAGACCCTGCTTCCCGAAGCCTTGTCAATCACACGAGCCGAAGCTCTCGCCCTAGGCCTGATGTGGTCTCAGTGGCTGGTGCGCTGGCGCGAGTCGCCAGGCATTGGGTTCTTGTTTTCAAGACCGGCAGGTTCGGGTGACAGCTGGATCCGCTCTTTGTCAATCCTGGTCCTGTGGGTCGCATGCCAGTCAGTGACTGATTCTCATCCGAAATCCGACTCTCCTGGCCTTGTCGTTTAACACCTGCCTCAAAATATCACCTTGGGGAAAGCTGGCTGGGAAAACCTTTTGGGACGGTCAGTATCGGACAGTCTTTCCTGGTTGGAGTCTTCCAGGTCTTCGCAGTACTGTTGGAATTCCTTTCAGAGGACACGCTTGTTTTGGAATGATTCCTGAGCTGCTACCGGCGAGTGGTTTGATATCGTAGTGCAGAGACGAGCAAAACAACATCTCGTTCTTCAGCCAGTTCATGCTTGTAAGTACTGGTGTAAGTCTCAATGACATCGTTTCAGCATCTCAAGCCCCGTAAATTCGCCGTATGCTCCGGGAAATCGCGGGAGTCGCGCTGTGTACTGTGGGGTTCGGAACTGTCTCGGAAAAGGGGGGAGGGCAAACAGGCTTGGCCGACCTGGCTTGTCAGCTGGTGACAGATGAAGCAGACTCCCCAAAGCAACAACAAAACCACACAGGAGTGGAGATCCGTCGAGTCTAACCGCAAGGGTGGTGAAGACCTGAGTCGAAAATTCGTGGTCCGGAAGTTTTAGTTTGTTGAATTGAGCCAGAACATATTCAATCCCGATTCGCTTGGCTCAGGTTCGGGCGATCACAACGCAATCCTGTCCCCTATCACATTCCAACAGCATTCCCTTCCCGGCTCAGAGTTGTGACTGATTGCTCAGTTTCAGCCAAATTCGGGTCTATCAGTTATGCATTAGGTCCATCTAGGTCCTGCCAGGACTTGCTGCCCATCACTCTTTTCCGGGTTTGTGTCTGCTGATCATCACCACTCCATTCAGGCTTTCCACGAGATCATGTCGTTCGTAGCCGCTGGTTCCTTCCCGTTTGCAAGGATTCGGGTTTGCTGGCCGCTGCTTCTTTTCGAGTGAAGAGTTTGCTGTCCCTTAGACCTGGTCAGTTTCCCTTCAGCTGTCGCTTGCGGCGTTTCAAAGCGTTTCCAACTTGTTTTGGATTCGTTGGCGGAATGTCAGATCCCTGTTCCCTGCCGGCATACCTGTGACAAAGGCTCTACTGCTTTCTGACTCGGCATCGTCCCCTGTCTGACTTTGTTTTCTGTGCCTTTTGTTTCCTCTTCCCGACTCGCAAAAGCCGGCAGCAAGGGTGTCACGCGAGAAAAAGAAGTCTCACTGTGATGCGCTTAGTCCAGAACTTCTAGCATGCTTTTGGCTTTGGCTTCCTTGTGGCGTTGCTCCTGCCGCCAGGCAGTGCAAGGCGCAGGGCCTAAAGATGGAAGCGATCCAGGAGATCACAGGCTTGAGCAAGGCTGGGTGGAAGGTGGCCGTAAACCCCATGTAGCAGAATGAGCCTTCAGGGTGATGGTGACACGAGGGCCTTTGCACCCCCGAATAATCCGAATAATGTTTGCAAGGAGCTTATCTGTCGCATTCCCACACGATGAGTAGCCGAGCTTCGCCTTCGCCAGGAAGAGGTGAACGCTGCGCTTGCAGACTCGAACAAGAAGGAGGGTACTGCAGCCGCCGTGCGACCAGAGATCCGCATGGATGTAGTGTTGCTAGGTGGCATTTAGAAGCCTTTCTCATTTCGCTTGGAATCTTCGCTGGGGCAGTTTTGTCTGCGCTGCATGTGGGCGTGCTTCGGGCGTGTCTTTTTCTCCGAAGGTTGCATACCTGCATAACCCCTCGATGCTTCTATTCCAAGCTCGGCTTTAGCTTTGTTTTGCCGTCTTCAGATGAGGCTTTTGAGATATGGATTGCTTTGCCTTGAAGCAACAGGTTCTACTTCTCCGTCTATGAAGATGCGAAGAAGCTTGACTTCACGGTGACTGCTTCTCGGAATCCAACAGACCCTCAGTCTTCTAGTTCGATCTGACTGACCCGCTGCAAGTTAGGCGCTGGATGAAAAGATGAAACCCTACGCTACTTGGAGATAAACAGTGAAGTCAAGATTCCTCTCGCTTTCTTTGAGAGAGTGTTGTTGCTACCGACAATGGCATGTCGTCACTGCGGGATCTTGCGATTCTACATGACAGGGCACCCACAGGATCGAGAGAAGTGAATCCCAGATTCTGACTTTCGGACGAACCAAAGCCTCCAAGACTCTTTCCTGCCTGCTCCAAGCGGGTATTGAAGCTGAGTCTGCACCGAATTCCGAGAGTGGTATAGTCCATACGAGGCGACATTCACCTCATCGGTGGGCGATGCTGCGGCTGCAATTGATGCCACGCCCACGGTGCGAACATTGAAGCTCAATGAAGGCACGGAAGGGAGGCAGAGCGGCAAGTCGCTGAACCACGGGATATTTGCATGCAGGTGAAGGTTCGGTACAGGCTGATCTCGAAGTGTGCCTCTTCGCAATCAGCTGATGTGAAGGGTAACGTGCTCTGGGCCGACAGGGCTGCAGGCGGTGAGGGACCCCTGCCCTCGTCCTCAGAGCTGCGAAGACGAGCTGATAGCTTGCTGAAAGTGTTTGTCAAGACCGGCTTGCGGTCTAACGGACCCGCGGCTGACTGTAGGTCCTAGGAGTTTCACGCTGTGCCAGGGCGCGCCTGGCAAGGCGTTAATGTCCACCCCAGAGGAAGGATTTCACCGGGGGCGGCCGGGTGCAGACTGCAGAAGGCCAGGGCACCCGTACAGGCCTTCAGAACTTCAGTAAGACCAGACATGCTCGAGTCTTCCAACAAAGCCTGAGAAAGCCATTCTTTCAAGGAGCGATTTCCCCTTCCTCAGGGTTCCCAGCCTGAAGTTTCGATTTAAGTGCTTCGCTGGCGAAATTCAGCGTTCGGTGCGAGGCTGCGCCTTGTAATGAGTCTCTTGGCTTCCTCGGCCATGCTGATCTGCGGCTGCAGTAACCCGAACGCTTTGCATGACCTTTTTGCCATGTCTTTTTGCCGCAGGAAAAAGCGACGTGGGCTAAGTTTTGAGGACATGAAGTTGTGCGATGCGAGAGAGGATGAGTGTGTGTATGTCCGTTCGCATGCTACCCTCGTGGCTCCTCGCATGCAAGGTCGTTTAAGAGTTTTTGGAAGTGTGTGCCTGAATTCGCTTCAACGTTTGTGCTGTCCGAGGTTCGAGCGGAGATGGACTGAAGACCTCAGCAACTCCCATGAATCCGGAAGAACCCTGGGCAACGTACAGTAATCATGGAAGCAAGGAGTGGTCGTCATAGTGGCGGCAGCAGTCGCAGCAGCAGTACGGTAAGTGGCAGTAGCAGTTGCATGGGGGAGCTTCCTTCTGCAGGAGCAGGCTGTGCGCCTGAACAGCAGGACGAACAGGGTGTGTCCCAGCCCGTCGGTCGAAATCTCTTCCTGTGCATGGGCAGGTCTGAGAAAGATTGCAGGAGAAAATTTACTGGAGGTCGTGTAGGACAGGGGCGGGGCAGGGAGTTCCCAACGGACTTGCCCTGCAGGTAGAGAATTCGCAATAGGTAGTATTGTAGGTTTTGTCTCAGATCCTCTGCAGCTAGCAGTGATGAGTGATGAGCATCGACTTGCTCTTATCGCTTTGATCTAGCCGCACATAGAACCTGCTGGAGCAGCTTCCTGTCGAAGTGCAAATCAACAGCACTGGGTGCAATGCATACCAAGTTTGGTTGTTGTGTTTGCATTCCGATAGCGGTACATAGGAGGCAGCCGAGATGGTAATGGCTGTAGATGCGATAGGAAGCAGAAGGCTTCAAGGCAGGTAATTTCTTTTTCATTTAGAGAGGCCCGCACCAATTGCTGGCTCATGACGTCTGATGTAGAGTTGAAAATCTGCTCGCGTTCGAGTATCTTGCTTCCACAAGCTGTCTGCCGGGTGCCATTCCGTCACCGGGCTACATCAACACGCGCTACCTCCCCGGTACTTGCTATCGTTCCATGTCAGATCGGAAGTTCCCAGGTCCAGGCTTCGTGTCGGAGGAGTGGGCGCATGTTCTGGCCTGGGACCTCTTCGTGGGGCGTCGTCGCCCAAGCCGGCAGCCCCGAGCAAGCAGGCCTGCCCTGTGAAGCCAGCGAGGTTGGATCTACCTTGATGGCCAGCGTCGTGGTATCTTCACTTCGCACTCTGCGAGGGGCTGAAAGCTGAAGTGCTTCGAGCCCTGGCTCCATTTATCAGACGTCTTTTTGGAGGTGCTCTTCTGTAACCTGATCGGGCCTCCCGGTCTCCTCATGCACGCGATCACCTGCTTCGTTGTCGGGAAGGTTGCAGCCAGTTGCTTGGGTGCTTGTTGAAGTTGTCACACAAGTGCCAGGGCTTGCCAAAGGAAGAGGGCCTGGAGGACCCGAAGTGACGGGACTTCGCAGCGTTGTAAGAAAGCTGCGAGAAAAATTGAGTGATCCAACGTGCACCCGTCCATGGCTCTGGGCACTTTGCAAGCCACCAGGCAACCTCGGTCGCACTGTGGGATCCTGATTGCCATCTGCCTTCTTTTCAAGTACCAAGGTCATAGCGGCATGGTAGTGGCACGGTGCATTGATGTGACAGCTTTTGCAGCGAGATCCTCGTCACGCCATGGCAGTGGTGAGCATTTATTCGTCTGATCGATCCTTCCCTCTTGAGCCGAAAAAGTACTGTGCAAGTAGTTCAAGTTTGTCCAATCGTTTGCCTCGAGTTCCCGAGCTGTGCTGGAGCCTCAACAAACCATTGTGTGCCCGCTGGTCCGCTTTGACATCTCTTGGGGCATGTCTCAGGAAGAAGCTTGCGGTGTCTGAATGGGACAGCAGGACTGTTGAGTGAGGGCGGGCGAAGTGGGCACTACGCCCTCTTGGCAGTGGGGTGACGCGATTTTTCGCAAGGCTTCTGCTGTGCCGGATGATTCGTGCAAACCTGAGCTGATATTGCCGCATGCTCCGATGCTCCATCCTGACATATCCTCACTCCGTGGTCGCCAAGGCCAAAGGAGCGAAGTCCCGGCGGTTCCTCGTCTTCGAAGGCTGAGCCTTTTCGAAGCCAGCAGTTGTCCGTGGCGAACCACTTCCCTGCTCGGAAGAACAGAGGCGGGACAGCTAACAGCCTCTCACGCCGGAAGGATTGGTGCAAGGATGCGACATCCGACGTGCAGAAGGCACAGGGGTTTTGAGACGGTCGGCACGTGCCGCCTGCCACTGCATGTTTCGATCTCTCCAGTTCGATGCAAAAGGTAGACTTGGACAAAATCACCAGAAGTGAGAAACCTTGACAATCCAGATAGGCGAATTTTAGGGACATCTGCATTGCTCCCTACGCCTGACTGCAGCCCAACCGCCACACCGACTTCGTGCGAATCGTGCCTCCGGCTCGACCGGTCCGCAAGCCCAGAATCAGGGCCTCAGGTGAATTGAGGGTTCTTGTGTGAAATTGCCACGGGCAGATGCTTCACAGACCGGGGTCAGATCAGCAAATACATGCATGTTCATGAGTTTGCTATGTGACTACGACTCTCTGAAGAGGCACCACGGGCGAGTGGATTCAGGCCTGCTGCCCGGCCTGTGAAGGGCTGGGATGTCACTGGATTCAACAGATCCGATCCAACAAGCGTGCTGGTAGGTGTGGTGAGGCGTTGCCGAAAGGCCCTGATGTGCTGGTAACTCTGGCACTGACTTCTTGATACGTTGTGTGGGTTCCTTGTGCATGCATTCATGTACGGATGGGTAGATGCAGTCGGCTTGGGAAGTCGACAGCTGGGTAAGTCTTTGACGTGCAAGTTTCGACAAGCAAGCAGATGGCCAGACACAGGCAGAGAAGCATACCGACAGACAGTAAGGCAGATGATCGGTTGACAGTAGATGCACGCAGAGATGTGCCCAATTGTCGCCGATGTGCCGGTGTAGCCAAACTGTAGTGATATGGAAGCAGGAGCGCCCAGCTTGAATCACTGAAAGACCGCCAGGTCTCCGAGATAACGTCGACTTCAGCAACAGTCTTCTGGTCCAACAACCAGGTGTGCTGAGAAGTGGTTCCAAGTTTCCTTCTCAGATCAAGCGCAGAATGGAGTGCTTCTGAATTACGGTTTTGTTGGGTCGCGAACTGGATCTGCAGGACACGCGGAAAGCGCACATAGACGTATTGTTGGAGAAGAAAGGTGGGCAAGAGCTGCGGTGTGTCGATCAACTTGCCACATGGTTGACCCGGCTGTTGTGTTGAAAAGTCCATCTTCATGCTGCGGAGTCCCATAGGTTATGCAGAAATGCAATAGCAGGCATAGGCTCGGAGAAGCCGGTTTCTTCAACTCACGAATGCACTTCCGGAGCTAGTTGTGCTGGTGTTAATGCAGGCATCATCGGCATGACAGTGCATATAGCAGTGCATGTCTTGGCTCGTCATAGTTATTTTTAATCGCCCGTCTTGACCATGAGTTGTTGTAGGCAATTAGGTCATGTTACACCATCCTTCTGCAGGCAGCTCTCTTCCCTTTGCCTTCTTCGAGGCCACGCGCTGAGGAAGCAGGGGATTCAAGCGTGGTCCATGGTTCGTGAACGGCTGTGGCTAAAAAAAGCATCGGACCCTTTGGACCCTGTCACACTAGTCGCTCCAAAGCCCCAATATGCAGAGGCCTCCGGGGATGCGGCGTCCTTCGAGCTGCCTGAAGGCCAGCCGAATTGCCACGAACTGGGTATCGCGGTTTCCGCCTTGTAGGTTTCTGCAGGGTTTTTATGATGTTCTGCGGTGACATGTGCTTTGGGTACTTCCTTCAGACCAAGCCTACAGTCGATGCGACGAATGGCACATGCGGCCACTCTGAAGTCTTCTTGGTTACCAGCCCGATAAGCCGCATAAGTTTTGATGACCTCGGCTGATTCTGGAAACGTTAGATATGTGTTGGCACTGCTGCGGAGGTCTCGGCAAGTTTTTCTGGGGCCATCTCTTCCAACCCACACGACGTTAGTGGGCTTGACAAAGGAAAGTATCGAGCAAGCCGCACACACGATTTCCGAATTCAAGACAGGCCAAAACTCCAAACAAATGCGGGCGGGGTGCAAAGCATGTGGTACGGCCAGTGCCCAAACCACTGAAGATCCGATTCTCAACTGTCAGACTTGTGCCAAATGCTGCTGGCACGCTCTTTCTGCGCACAAGAACGGATGATGATTATAATGATTATAGTGGCCAATGCAAACGATGCTGTTCTACTGCATCATAGACAATCCCTCCGCTGGCCACTTCTGTGCGATCCCGAGACCTCGCGGCAGAAGCTTCTGCTTTGCACCTCGCCCAAGTTCGATGACTTTGTTTCAACGTTGCCGCCCTGGCCGAGCCCTGGCCGAGGCAGCCTCCCCAAGTCGGCTGGGCCCTTCAGGGCTCAGGCGCGGAGCTCGGAGCTCCCGGTCTGGGCACCCGGTAGTATTGCAGGGTCCCCGGCCTGCAGCTAGAGTTTCAAGCAGCCAAGGTGGTGCTTGAGAGCGGTCCGGCAGATCGGTGCGGGCCTTTAGCTTTCGGTTGAATCGGAATTCGAGCGGGTCCATTTCAAAACTGGACATCCCTAGAGCCCTAAGATCCACGACGTAACCCCTTGCATGCCGGCGCCCCCATGACCCATCCAGTTACTTACCCAGCTGCCTGCCCATGTACTGCCATGTATTCCTGCACCCATAACGAGCAGACTTCCTATGCGATCCAGAAGCATAGTTCTGTATTAACGTATGTAATATGTGGATGATATACAGATCTCTCTACATGTAAGTGTAAACATGCCGACCAAGGAACGCAGACATGCACAAGCACATGCAGACAGACGCCAACGCACGCCGACATGTACTACACTCAAGCATTCTGTTAAAACTTGGTCAGAAACACCGACATTGTCAATCAAGCCCCAGACTTTTTTTCCGATCAGATGCTTTCTGTACCATGTTGGACATCACCAAAATTCAAAAGATGATCCGATCAGCCACTGCCATACATCCCTGGAAACGACAGTGGTACCTGTTCAGGGGTCAGGGCGACAGCATGGTGGCTGCAGAGGCTTAGGGTTTCGCTTGAGGGTTTTGAGTTTTCGGGGCCTACCATCGTGTTGGCGAGGGAGGCAAGAGTTGTGACTCAAAAAGGCTTGGGACTTACCTTGGCTGTTTCGGGTTTTCGTGGCCGGCTGTTTACTGTTCAGGGCTTGCGCCGCATCTACTTTGGGTTGAGACGATACGGTTTCTGCACGGCATTCAATCTTAAGGGTTAAAGGTTTCGGGCTAGTCTCGATTTAGGTTTAGGGTGTCTGACTGGGTTGGGCTTCAGGGTTGAGTGCTTCTTTTCTTGCCCTGCTGGTGTGGAGCGCAGGGTCTATCAGTCAGGTAAGCATTTCCGCTCGTGCTTCCTCTTTCAACCGGCACCGATCGACTTGTTAACCAGATAATTCCAAGCAAATTTGGAGTAAACCAGTCAGCTGGTCCATTTGTCTGTGCATCTTGTTTACATCAGTCGCCGCACATTTTTCTCTACCTGTCCAGCTTTGTGTTTTTTGTTCTTTCGGCTTCTGCACCTATCCGTTGGCGTGTCTCTCTTTATCGGTCATAATGTCTACACCCACACCAATGAATCCTACATGAGCCTCTCTCCAAGAGGCGTGGCCATCAGTGTGTGCTGTTCGGGCTGGGCTTCGGGGATGTATGCTAGTGCCCTGACCTGCCGAGTGCGTGGTCGGGGAGGGTTGGAAAGAAAAGAGATATGTCTGTAGCACTACCCATTTCCGCATGCTTGCGCATAAAGCAAGAAACATGAACTTGGACATGCATATATATATATATATCTATATATATATATATATATATCTATATCTATATATATATGTATAGAAATATAGAACATACACATACACATACACACAGGCACATACATAAACACACACGCACAAAAGCACATCTACCTACCTACCTACCTACCTACCTAATGCATCTCTGCCTATATTACAAGTATGAATGTCCATGAGTGCGACACATGCGTGCAGACTTGTCGGCTGTCCTAGCTCGGCCCAGGCCTCAACTGACAGAGCCCGGCATGTCCGAACCTTTCTTCACGCCCGCCGAGCCGCCCTCGGCCGTTGCCCGGGCCCTGCCGCCGTTGGACCTACGACGCTCCACCTCCTTTGCTGCGAGCAGATACCTCGCAGAGACTAGGTCTGAATCGGTACTTTCGGTTTCCATCGGGGCGTGTCTCGCAGAGGTTTGCTTGCGACTCTTGGGCGAACCGCGTGCTGACGGTGTTGGCACCCTAGCATCCCTAGTCCGACTGTGGCACTCTACTGCAGTGAGACTGCGTGCGCCGGCCAAGTTCACGGTGGAGTGGCAACCACCTGCAGATGATGGTGGCAATCCTGTCGAAGTTTACGAGGCAGGGAAGAGGCATGTTGACAGGGATGCCCGGCGCGGAGCTTCGAGACAAACCAGACCCGGGGTGCACATAGGATGATGTATCGTCTTGCTTTTGCCACGCCCCACCGGGCTTCGCCTTATCGGGCTGTCGTCGTACCGTTGGTCGCTGACGCCAATCTCTCCAAGCTGTTTACTCTGACACCCCCTGGTGAAGCCCAGAAGTTGCCATAGGCTTCATGTGAAAATGGCTGAGAGCTTTTTGAGAAATGCCGTTTAAAGTTTGAGCTGGCAGCTCGATGAAGGTGCATTTGAGCAGTTCGCAGAAAGACGAGGCCGGGTTTAGCGAATGCCTTTCAAGCGAGATTCCGAGCTGATTCTACCTAGATGGTCCACCGTTCAGCTAGGACTGGGATTGCTTGCAGTTCTCTGTTGTCCTGGGCTCAGGGGGTGCCTGCCGAGAGGGCCCAGGCCGGTGGGCGGGAAGGCTGGAGGTCCCTGGAGGTCCCGCAAGTAGCGAGGCGCTTGGGCTTTGCCAGTTCGAGCACGAACGGGATGCTGCAAGACTGGAGGGCTGTCAGCATTGGCCATCGGAGTCTATGCAGGTGCGTCTCGCCAACGGCAAGAGCCCGATACTGCGAGGAGCTCAGGAGGGGTGCTTGGAGTTGCAGTGCTCCGGGTCTCTGGGGAAGCTGTTTCTTCAGCATTGCTATGTGGAATTGAAAGCTCAAGTGACGTGGATGGGGCAGTAGGTCTTCAACATGCAGTGGAGTTTTCTGGACGCTGGCACAGAGTTCAGGTGCCACAGCACACAACAGTGCTTCTCCGGGCTGGCGCCGGGTTCAGACTACACGGTGGAGGTGGGACTTTCTGGGCAGCTTGGGGTCTTTCGGCACTCTCCATCGGTAGTTGTAGGGTCTCCTCAGCAGGTCTGCGCCGTTGCTGCTGGCGTGAGCAGTGCCCTGGCCACGATCGAGGCCAGGCAAAGACAATCAGGCGACTCGAAAGACCGAGACCAAGCTGCAAACTTGTCTTCTTGTCTCGTCAAAGCCGGTACCAGACGTACTGAAAAAGTGGTGACAGGTCTCAACCGCATGCGCCGCGCCTGCAGCTCCCTCACAGCTCCGTGCGCGGCTGATGCCAGGCCAGGGCTGGGGTTTGGTCCTCGGCTGAAGGTGCGATGGGGATTTGGGTTTCGGCTCCGGGTGTGGACATGTTCGGGCCTGAAGGATAACAGCGTGCAGTTGGCAGTTTTCAATGTGATCGGAGTCAGATGCCATTGGAAGCAAACGAGCAGGATGGGCGAGGACCAGCCAGGGCTGCATCTGCATCGCTGGCGAAGGCCGATTCTCCCTGAAGGGCCTGTGGTCGGGAGCCTGCAATCTTCAGAAGTGCTTGGAGTTCTGCAAAGCCGGATTGGCAAGTGCAGGAAGTGGACGGCACTGTTAGCTTCTCTTAGCCAAATCTTGTGGTGTAGCACATTTATGTGCGTAGGGACAAAACGTCGAATCGACGTGGATGCTGCAGCCGCTGTCTGCTCCACGTCCCCCGACGATTTTCAGCTTTCCGGTAGATCCCCTCGACGCCATGGCCTTCCAATCCGCCGACGTCGTCGCCGCCTTGGACATGGTGCGACGTGCCGTCGCTTCCGGCGATGACCTTAGTCAGCTCTTCGCCGAGTGGAGCGGATTGGAACGGCGGGCCCTGGTGGCGGCGATCAACAGTCCAGCTGCCGCCCCGGGGCCCGTCGTGTATGGCGACTCGTCGCGGGTGACACCGGCGAGTTCAAGTGGAGTGGCAGCAGCAGTGCCGGCGCCGTCGGATGACCCGTGCCCGGAACCCCCCGTCGACAGGCATCACGCGCCTCCTTCGGCGCACGCGGGGGTCTCCGGAGCACCGTCGTCCTCGGCCGACATGCCGGCGGCAGGAAAGCCATCGGGTGGTGGCTACCCGCAGAAGCCCACCCGTCCGGCGCCGTCGGTGCCGAAAGGCAGCCCGCCGGAAGTCTGGGACCAGGTCATGGGGTATCTCTGTCGGACCGACGCGGAGTTGGCATACAAGCACAACATCCCGACGGCCGACGCCTACTACCGGCGGTACCAGACGGTGCTTCCGGATCGGATCACGCCGTCGACGGTGATCCCTGGGCCGCCGCCGCCGGCTGCCCCGTCCCCGTCGGTGCCGATCGTCGACTACCAGGACCGCATTGCCGAGGAGCTCCGGCGGCAGTTCGAGGAGGAGTCGCGACACCAGCGCACCGTCGGGCCGCAGGTGAAAGCCATGCCGGCCGCTTCGGCACCGTCGCCGTCGCCGCCAGCACCGTCGGGTTCATTTCGCAGGGCACCTACACCAACGCCGCAAGAGATGTATCCCGACGCGGATCCGATCACTGGCGCCGGCTTCCCCATCCTTCCACGGCGGCCGGGGCAGAACGCCTCCCCCGCCGAGCTCGAGCGCCACAGGCGCGAGTACCGGCGTCTGGCCCACATCCGCCGGATGCTTTGCTCGCAGGAGTGGCGCGACCACGTCGAGCTGATGGGCAAGTCCGGCGTGAGGTCCGACGTGACGCTGCCGGAGACGCTCCGGCCCCTCACCGTCGCCAACCTGGAGCACTTGGAGGACATTGAGAGGGCCGCCGCCGACGGCTCCACAGCCATGGTACCGGCGGCCGCCGCAGCGGCTTACTATGTGCTGCGGGCGCTGCCGCCCGGCGTCCGGGGAGGCCGCATTCCGGAGAAGATCCCCGGCAAAATCTGGTGTGTCGGGTGGTGCGGGCACCCGTGCACCAACGGTCGCTGCCGAGGCATTCCCGGCAGATGCCTCCGTCCGGTGTTGATTCGGGCCGGCGGCACCGTCGACTTGGATCGCCACGACCACCATGAGTGCGAGGACTGCCACGAGCAGTCCCGGCACCGGTGATCCGGTCGGCCGGCCCCCGTCGCTATCTCACCGTCGCCGTCTTCTACAAGGTCGACCTCACCGACGGCCTTGTCGCTGGCGACGTGGGAATTCAAGCCTCAGGGGGTGCGTCGGTGAAGCCTTCGCGGGCCTCTCCCGACGCCTTAATTTAATTCCTTTCTGCCCGGCGTTGTAATCGCCCAGGGCCCGACTCAGAGCCGATCAGGCGCCGCCGGCGCGAGAAAGGAGGGCGCAGTGCAGTTTCTCATGCTTGCCCGTCGTTCGTCGTGCACCTGTTTTTCTTTTCCCTTTTTCTTTAGGAGGTTCGGTTGGCTCGAGGCGCCCAGGCCGGCGCACGCCTAGGCCCCTTTGGCCCCATGCGGCCCCGCCGCGGACAGACGGCGGACTTCGGCCGGCTGGTGAGGGCATTCGTCGAGCTGGGGGCATCCGACCATTTGCCCCTGTTGCCGACAGTGGGCGCCGTGGACGTCGACTCCGCCCTCGCACGGGCCTCGGCGTTAGTCACAGCTGGCGTCCCGGCCACACTCCTCGAAACACTCGCCGGTTGGAGGTCCCGTCGGGAGGGGGACCCTCCCACCGCCTCGGCTAGCCAGCCAGAGGGGCGACGGTCCTCAGGACCGGCCCCGTCAACTCAGATCGTGCCGGCGGGGCCCATTCCGCTCAGAAGGGACACCCGTCGAGCGTGCAAACGCACCGCCTTTGAAGCAGCCCTCCCGGAGAACAGGGAGCGCTGGCGGAAATCGACGAGAACATCCTGGCGAAGTCGTCCCAGGCACCCTTCCAGTCGAGAGTCCGCACGTGGCAGGAAGCGTGCGAGACTTGGGCCGTCGCTCCCTGGCCCATCTCGGCGGAGGCGGTGCGGAAAGTTGCCGCCACCTTCCGTCGAGGCGGCTATCGCTCCGTCCAGAACTATTTCGACGCCGCCGTGTCCTACCAGGAACAGTTTCGCGGCGAGGCCGTCGACCCCCTCATCCGGCGGGCCATGCGACGCTATGCCCGGGCAGTGGTCCGTGGCCTGCCCGGCTCGAAGCTGAAGGCCATCTTCGCCGTCGACCGCCTGGTGGCCCTGGTCTCCAGGGTGGACCCGCCGGGGGCCGACGCTGGAGCCCGTGGGTCACGGCACACGCCGTCGACGCCCTTATCCTGGCGGTGTGGTTCATGCTCCGCGAGATCGAGTTCTCAGCGGCGCGGACGCAGGACATTGATGTCGCCGACGGCACCGTCGCCCTCCGGCTTCCCCTGCACAAGACCGCGACCGGCGGCGGGGTCGAGCTGACCCAACGCCAGCTACGGTGCACTTGTGGGGCAACCGTGGCGCCGTTGTGCCCCTACCACGCGGCGCTACGCCATGTCTCCCGCCTTCGGCGTGCCGGACGGTGGGTGCGTGGGGCACCCCTGTTCCCCGACGGGACCGGTGACACCTGGGAGAAGTCAGAGACCGTCCTCTTCTTCCGGCGGGTCCTGCTGGCGGCGGGGATCCAGCTGACCACCACCGACCACAACGGCGCCACCGTCCAGCTCTTCAACGGCCATTTGGCACGGGTGGTCAACACGCCCATCATCCAGTTGCTGGGCCGATGGTCGTCGGCCGCCGTCGAGCGGTACGTCCAGGCAGCGCCGCTGGCAGTCGCCCCGGACGTCCCCCGGCGCATATTGGCGGATGACGTCGAGATAGTCAGCGTCCGGCCGGCGTATGGCGACGCCATCTCGCAGGCCAAGGCTCCACCGGCTCTCGGCCGCCGCTGGAGCTGGAGGATGGAGAGCCGGCTCAGGTGGAGACGCCGCCGCACGAGGATCACTCCCCGACGGTCGCGTTCGAGCCCGGCCCCGTCAGACCTGAGACGGTGAAGCAGGTCGCCGTCGCGCCGCCGGAGCACCTCATTTACAATGAGCGGCAGAAACGGGCTCACGCCCCTGATCCGACGGAGGCCTCGTCGGACCGCTTTCTGTGGAAAGCGCGGGGTTGTTCCTGGCCATACGGCGTCCGGAGTTTTTATAGGATCACCGAGCTACCGGCGGGAGCCGCCAAGTGCCTTAGGTGCTTTCCGAAGGCCCCGTCGGCTGACGGTGTCGGGTCGCCGACGGAGGAGGCAGCCTCCCCAGTGGCATCTAGCTCAGATTCCGACGATTCTTCGTCGTCCTGAGAAAAGGGACCGGTGCCGTGCACTTGGCGAGCCCGTCGCTGCGCACAGTGCATCTTGTTTCGTGCCGCAGCCCGCCTTTGACCGCACCGCCCGTCCATCCCCGCCGGCCCCCTCGTCGTGATCATGGCTATGGGTCCGCAGCTCGTCGCCGACGTCCTGACCGACTTCGACGACCTCGCCACGTCGGCGGGGGCGGGTCCGGACCTCGTCGAGTACCTGAAGGTGCGGTCTCTCAACCGCACGGCTACCCTCGCCCTCGTCGCTGACGAGTGGTCCGACGTGGACGCGAGGGTCTTCCAGCCGTTCCGCGACGGCGACGAGATCGCCGGGAAGACATACAAAGCGACGCCGGCGGAGCAGCCAGTCGTCCGGGCGATCATCCGCCACATGTGGTCGGAGGCCCGGCGGCAGTGGAACGAGTTCTCCACCCCTGCCCCGGCCCCGTCGACGGCCGCACCGCCGCCGGCCACCCTGCCGACGATGGTCGGCGAGAAGCCGCCGCGGACCTTCCCGGAGTGGACCGACCTCGTCGCCCGCTACAACGCCGTCCAGCTCGGGGGTGAGCCCCGCTCGTTCCCGGCGGAGCGCCTCGTCGGAGCAGAGGAGGTGCTCGCCAGGATCCACTGGGAGCACACCAAGTCTACACGCCGCTCGGCCTCGGCGAGATCCTCCCTCGGCGTCGTCAATCCCCTCGCCGGCCGTCGCAGCACCGGCGGGGCACAGCATCAAGTTCGTGGACGGCGGCCTGGCGGTGGAGGAGAACCAGCCGTTCGTCCCGAGGGGCATTTGGGCCGTCGTCGACGGCCTGGACGCCATCCGCTGGGCGTGGGTCCTGACCGGCGTGGGGACAGAGGCCGGTACGTCGATTGGTGGACGACCAAAGCCCGGCTTCACTCGAGCAAGCTCGAGGCCGTCGTCGCCTACTGGGACGCCACGGCGCACCAGCTCGCCATGTCCATGCGCCTCGCCCGTACCTTCGAGGAGGTGACCTCGGCGATCCTGGCGGACCAGGCGGCGTTCAATGAGGCACTCCAGTCTGCCGTCAAGCCTGGCCCGCCGAGGAGACCGACGGGGGCACCGACGGGCGGCCCACCCAGCCACCCGACGGAGGACGACCACACAGCCGACACCCCCAAGGGGAAGGGGAAGGGCCGAGGTCGCCAGCCCCGTCGCCGCCCCGGGAAGCAGCGCCGCCAGGAGCAGGACTGCCGTTGGGGCCCGCAGCTGCCCAAAGGACAGCTGTGTATACATAAGGAAGCTGTTGTAGCGGCAGCTATATTCTGTATTACGCAGCCGGCGTATGTATACGCTACTTGGCGTATAAGTGGTTATATCATATGGTCGCATTGCTACATTTTGAGTGGCGCCAGCCAGCGTTTGCTAAACCCGAAAACGGTGCAAGCCAGCGTTTGCAACACCCGAAACCAGCGACCAAACAAAACCAACAACAAACACAACACAAAAGTTCAAAACTACATTATAGCTTTTCATTGAGAAGCTATCGGCGTTTGCTTTTGCCAAACCCGAACATGGCGCAAGCCAGCGTTTGCTAAACCCGAATATGGCGCCAGCCAGCGTTTGCTAAACCCGAAAATGGCGCCAGCCAGCGTTTGCTCAACCCGAAAACGGCGCCAGCCAGCGTTTGGTTGACCCGACAACGGCGCAAGCCAGCGTTTGCTACACCCGCGAAACCAGCAACCAAACAAAACCAACAATACACATAACACAAAATTTCAATACATTGCCATGACAAGCTATCGGTGTTTGCTTTTGCTAAACCCGAAAATGGCGCCAGCCAGCGTTTGCTAGACCCGAAAATGGCGCCCGCCAGCGTTTGCTAAACCCGAAAACGGCGCAAGCCAGCGTTTACTAGACCCGCGAACCCAGCGACCAAACAAAACCAACAATACACATAACACAAAACTTCAAAACATTCACAAGCTATCGGTGTTTGCTTTTGCTAAACCCGAAAATGGCGCCAGCCAGCGTTTGCTAAACCCGAAAACGGCGCAAGCCAGCGTTTGCTAGACCCGCGAAACCAGCGACCAAACAAAACCAACAATACACATAACACAAAACTTCAAAACATTGATAAAGCTATCGTTGTTTGCTTTTGCCAAACCCGAAAATGGCGCCAGCCAGCGTTTGCTAGACCCGAAAATGGCGCAAGCCAGCGTTTGCTAAACCCGAAAATGGCGCCAGCCAGCGTTTGCTAAACCCGAAAATGGCGCCAGCCAGCGTTTGCTAGACCCGAAAATGGCGCCAGCCAGCGTTTGCCAGATACGAAATGGCACAAGCCAGCGTTTGCTAAACCCGAAAATGGCCAGATTTGAACCAACAAACGGTGTAGCCACATGGGCTTGAGCCGGCTTGAGCCTTTAGGGTTGTAGGGTACACTCTTTTTGTCTCTGCGTATGTAGCCACATGGGCTTGAGCCGGCTTGAGCAAAAGTTGGTAGGGTACATTCTCTGTGTCTTTCTGTTTATGTATGTATATATATATATAGACATATATACATGCAATGAAAAATTGTGCATAGACCTGCCACGCTCAGTTTTGCTCGCTTCCCCACGAGCTCACCAAACGTCGTGCAATGCTGCAGGACGGTGTGCCACTTCGGCTTCGAGCTCACGTGTTTGTTGCCATCTCAGGCCCCACAGCAAAAGCAAGCGTTGGAAAGTTCTTTCCATCACTCGAGGCGAAGAGCAATGGGTTGCGATCTTCTTGAGATGTCCGAGGTAGGATTCCTCCTGGAAGCAAGAGCATGCTAAGCGAGGGTTTAGCTGCGTCCTTTCTAGATCGTCAGAGAAGTGATCCAGAACGTGATGTTTGGGGCGTATTTTCCATCGCTTCTTCTGCAGCGAGTGGAAGTGGACAGCCAAGAACTGCCACTGCAACAGGAACCGCCTCAGCAAGGCTGCACTGCGACACGAGTCTTCTTTCGGCATGATGATGTCGTGCTGGTCCAGAATGGACAATGCTTCATTCAATGACCAAATGCATTCAGTGCCAGCCCGCCGCACAGGATCCTTAGTTGTGCAGCTACACCGCATGCGGAAGGTTTGCTCTGCACACAAAGCACGCATGCCTGCAGACGTTGTACCTATCTCCAAATCATGCATGTGTCGTCCGTGTCGGCATTATACTGCGCAGCTTTCGTCGTCAAGAACCAGACAACAATCTTGATTTCCGCAGCCTTCCAGGTGGTGGACAGTTCCGGGTAGTCGGCGGTTCCCAAGCCTGTGTTCGAAGGAGTGAAGAATTTCCTCCGGAAACTAATCCTTGGATAGCATGCGCACGATCCCGCAATTGTTGTGCAGCTGTAGACTACGGGCGAAGATTACAGACAAGTTGCCGGGCTCGTTTGCAGGCGTCGTGCATCTCTAAGGATAGCTTCCTCAAGCTTTCCTGAAGCGATGCTGCAACTGGCAACAAACCTGCGTCCAGCCAATCTGCGAGGATTGATCCGATGAGATCGCGGCACACTCCTAAATATATCACATGCATTGGGTCGCGAGTGCAGGATTCCAAAGTCCAGCCCTTCATGGCTGTCCACGGTGACAGTTCCTCCGGGGGCGTCAGGGCCAAGTAGTCGCGATGGCCAAAGCGGGTCAACCGGTGGCCGGCAGAGAGACTGAAGTCCCGGTACGTCAACAAAGGCTCGGTATTCTTTCCAGGTTTGCAGGCAAAGCATGACTCGCACACCAAGTTGCAGCCGTAGTGCCTTGTGAAGAAGTTGCACTGAACCCTTGCCTTGAGGTCGTATTTCATCGAGAAGAATGCTGCCCTGTCAGGCGGCCAAGTTTATGGGAAAATGTGGGCTCAACTCTGCATTGAACAGATTAATACAGACTTCTCACGATGCCTCCAACCATTCCCGATGCTTGAGCCTGCCAACTTCTGGCGAAGGGAACCATTCTCGAACTTCTCGCCGTGGAATCCCACTTCTGGGCCCTTGCCCTGCATGGCGCAGTCCATAGACCAAGCCATGAGCTGAGCCACGTGGCGATGGACATGCTCCCGAACCTGCTCGTTTTTTTGCGTCAAGCAGAGACCCATAAATCGTTAGTCCTAGAACTTCCGCCAGGCCGCATCAATGTCAGCCATGAACTCGTGGGGCACGATAACACAAGGGAGGTTGATATCCCAAACCTGAGTGAGCTGCCAATGTGTTTCAGATCAGGAACTGCCGCTTGCGATAAAATCCTTGCATCAAAGCCGCATCTCCAGTCGCGAAAATGGACGAGCAGCTCCACACCATGAACTCGGAGTTGCTATAGAACTCTGCGCCGTCACAATGAAAGGTGAACGGCAACAGTCCTTACATGAGGGCTTGCTCTGGTTTGACTGTTCTGCACATGCCGCAGCACGGCACTTGCAGACCAGAATCTTTCAAGTGCGTTTCCATTCTGCAGGGCTGGATGTTCTTGGTATTCTGCAAGACCCTTGCAATGCTCCCAGAACTCTCGCACAGCATCATCGTCGCGATGTCCCGTCATGGATTTCGCGAACTTCAGGGACATTCAACACAGACTGTGCAAGACACACATGCAAACCACTTACCATGGATTCTCCATTATAATGCCTGAGCAGGACCTGCGCAGGCGAGAGCATTCAGGATCTCGTGCGGGAGAAGAACCGGCACTTGCTCCAGACATGGTTTGTCGGAAGTATTGACCTGTGTGCCAGGCAACAATATTAAAGACTTCCGTCAGATCGTCATGTGTGTCCAAGCTTTCAACGGCGAGCCTGCAATCGCATGGTGGTCCAGTACGGCTCCAAGTTTACACCATGCAGATTTTCCAGCCACCGATGTAGATCCCTTTCTTCGTGCCCCTTCTGGAGGCCGTAATTACCAAGCGATGCGAACATCGCAACGCTCGGCAGCTGGGGCCCGTCGTGCAACTGCGCCCGCGCAATTTCACATATCGTATGGACATGGATCTTGCCAGACCCGATCAGGCCTTATACGAAGCATTTGTGCCGAAGCTTCTGAATTCTGACATGAGAAAGTGCAACGAACCAGCCGCTTCAGCTAAGTGTCGGATAAACTCTTCTGCTTCGCAGCTTCGAGGAAGATCTTCGTAGCGGGTTCGTTTCAACGGCCTCCGGTCGAATGCGCGAGAGTTCAAAATCCCTAAAGCCCTAAAACGATTAAGTACCTTAAACCCTACAGTCCTCTATAATACACCCCGATAATACTGACACTGGGTATATACATGTAGGAGGTCAAATACTTACGATTGGTGTAGTTCGGACTTTAAATTCGACTTCCTTCTGTAAAGGAAAGCCAAACGAGACGTGTGCATCAGAATCCAGCGGAACAGAGGCCTCCAAGCCCCGAAATCGAGCAGCCCATCCCCGCCCCTGGTTTAGTTTAGAAGCAACCACAAGCAGGCCTGTCTTCAGCATGGCCATTCGTAAAGCTCCTGAGTGTGTTTAAAGGGCGGTTGATGGTATATAAGGTTGGTAGGATAAAGTCTAGGGGGCTATGGAGACAGGGTTTCGGGAAGTGCTTTCGAATTCTTGCTCCGGTCCCCGACAGTCGCAGCCGTAAGCTTTTATCCCGCAACCCAATCCGAATCCTCAAACTCTAAAACCCTAAACCCCTAAACCCAAAACTCGGAATCCCTGCAAGCACAAGATCTCTAATAACTCTAACTTTTTCAACCTAAAACCCTAAAGCTCTTAACACTGTAATCCCCGAAACCCTTCAACCTTAATCTGCAATCATCGACAGCACTACTTTCGACTAACTGCGGGCATGGGTTTGCTCCAAAGCACAAACAACCGAAACGTACACCATCATCATCACTAACATCACCATCACACATGCGAAGGTGCAACATCAGCATGAAAAGCTTCTTTTCTGAAGTCAACGGTATTTAAACGAGTATATTGATGCTTGCCAACTTACCGTCAGCACACTCACCCGTAAAAGGTGCTACTTGAGAACATAAGTTGTAACGAGTACTTTGAATATTTCTTACATACGATCATTTCTTATCGAACCGAATCATGCTAACCAGCCAGAGCTTCAAGCAACGATCGCGCCGTTGTGGCGACACATTTGGCCTTGGAGGGCGGGGTATAATTTTGGCTCAGATATGTATTACAGTATCCCCATTGGTGGAATGTGTGACTCTAGGCCTGGGCCCTAAACCCTTTTTTTGAACCCGGGCTTGCTGGCTGCCAGGACTGACCCTCAACCCTAAACCCGAAACCCTGAACCCTAAACCCTAAACCCTAAACCCTGAACCCTAAACCCTAACCACAACCCTAAACCCTAAACCCTTAGAAACCCAAACTATCTGCGACTAAGCCAATGTAAAGCTTCAAATCATTGAGAAGGGACAAGGTTTTCTTTCTTTCTTGTAATGACTCCATGAGTCAGGCTATAGGCTCCAGATAAGTCCTGTATGCGACAATACCACAGGGTTTTACGGGTTTGGGGTTTAGCGCGTTGGGGCTAGGCTACTTCTATAAGGTTTCGAAGGCTTCTAGCTGGTTTCAAGCTTCAGCCTTTTGCCCGATGCAAAGGAGCACACTTGAACCCCGAACCCGAAGCCCGTAAAGCAAGGAACCATTCAAGCCCACAGCCTACACCCAATGCCGAAATTAATCCCTGAACACTAGACCTAACCCATGGCAAAAGCCTATGCCCTAAACCCCTACACCCCCTCCCGGCCTCCTCGCGATTTCTCCATTAGCCGTGCCTGTGTGGGATGAAAGCTATAAAACATGGTTGATCTAAAAGGCAGTTTGTATGAAACACAAACATGCCACGATGGAGTGCAGCATTGGCATAGCCGATTTGAGTTGTCACTGGAAAAGTTGACAGCAAAAGGTCTGGATGGCTATGGGTCAAAATCTGCGAAGCTCATGCATGCTCGTCCGAGAAGCACAGCTACCACTATAAGTTGGGATCTAGAACTATTGATATAGCACACGAGCTCATGCATGCTACGCACATCACTTCTTTAAAATCTGCAGCAGCAGCTCACGGCTCACGCTTTGGCTTCGGCTGCCTCTTTACCGTCTTTGCCGCCCGATGCCTTCGCTTTGGCCTTCTTCTTTCTGTTGGCTGCGGAAGTGAAAGCCTTGCCCGCTACCTGCTTGCAAACACAGAAAACTCCCTTTAGCTGATGTTTTTCCATACTATAGGGATTGGAGGAAGTGGCTGCGGAAACTTCTAGTGGCACCCGGGGAGCCTCGGCTTGTTTCCACCAATCCATCTTCTCTTTGGAAACATTCACAAACTCTGCGAAAGCCTTTTTGTCCTTCTTCTTGTGGTTCTTTTTGCGCAGCCTTTTCTGCACCTCTGTGAACATTTTCTCGCACTCTTTCGAGAATGCTGCCAAATCCTTTGACAACGTCCCGGCCATATCAAGCCCCTGCAAACTGAGAGACAGCTTGCGAGCATCCCCAGACGTCTTGAGCATGTCTTTTGCCATCTCCTCAGCCTGGTCCTTGATGGTGGTCGGCTCGACTGGCTCTGTGGTTTCACCGGTTTTTTTCTTTTTGCTTTTTTTCTTATCGATGGCTTCATCAACCAGCACTTCGGCAAGTGCTTTGCCTCCGGCTGCACCGTCCGTCTTCATTGCTGGCAAAGCACCAGCAGCGAATACACCATCCTGTCCGGTCATCTGCTCCATTGCAGCACTGTCCTCCACTGCCATGCTGCCCGACATCGATGCTTTCTCACCAACAATCACATCCACATTCACCTTCCTCGGCTGGCGCACGTAGTAGAAAATTTCTTCACTGTCGCTCGGGAACTCCTCGTCACGATAAAACCGGCCTGATGACCGGAGCTTCTTGCAAAGCTCCTCTCCTCTGCCGGGGTAGGTCTTGATGATGTCCCTCTTCTTCATGGCAAGAGCTCCCTGTCTTGCCGTGGTTTTCTTTTCTCGCATGCGCTCCACAGTGACTTTCACCCTGAGCATCTGAAACCGATGGGAAAATAAAGGAAGCTTACACAACTACATCTTATTATGCCCCAACTGAGAACACTGCTTCTGAAGGTCTTTTCCATTCTGTAGCCACAAGTTGAACATGTCGGTCTTTGACTTCTCATAGTAGTCCGCGAGCTCGACCGGAAACTTTTTCCGGTTGTGACACTCCCGTGTAAACACGTCCCACTCGCGCTTGTTCGTCGTGCCTCGGATCTGCATTAGCTGCGATACTTCCACCCCTCCCTGCCCAAACCCTCTGGTGTGCGGCCACGACACTGTTGGCTTGGCCGGCGGTTGCGTTTTCAGCCCCCGCTGCTACCAAAGCCAAGCAAGTGCCTGGCTGCGCATCTTCTGCCTTTGCTACTGGCACCAGTGCGGACTGCTTGGTGCTATTGCCATCTGCTGCCTCTTCCTCCTCGTCGTCCTCCGTATCGGAAGAGGAAGATGCCGTGGGGCTCTTTGCCTCCTTGTCGTCGCTCTCGTTGCCGCTCTGCTCCTCGCAGCCCCTGCTCGAAGACTCTTCTGAGGAGCTTTCGCCTTGAGAGGATGCCTCAGAATCCTCTCCTTCCGACTCGGCCCCGGAGCTCTCCTCGTCGTCGCTCTTATTGATCGGCCCAGGACTCTCGCTCATCTCCCGCAAGAGCTTCTCAAGATACTCCTCGTTGACTTCGGCGTCCTGCTCGTAGCAGCAGCATACCGACACACACATGATAGGCAGCTCTGAGAGAGAGAGAGAGAGAGAGAGAGAGAGAGAGATAGATCTCTCTCTCTCTCTCTCTGCCCTTGTGCATCTACCTCCCCTCGCTCCCCTCCCTCACTTAACACATGCAAACAGAATCGCGTCCTGGGTGTCAAACCGCTCCAGCAGGTTCTTCCGTGGCGCGGGCGTCTCACTTTCCGAAGCCTGCTTCTTGCTGTCCTCACCCGCACTCGGGGGGTCTTCCTTCACAACGCTTTCCTCCGCTTCGCTCTTGGCTTTTTTGTCTCGCTTCTCTTGCTTCTTCTGTTTCTTCTCTTCCTTAGCTTTTGCTTTCTTCTCTTGCTTTTTGAGGTCTTTGAGTGCCGTTGGGTGGTCCTTCGGGGAAACGGCAGGAGCTTCCGGGACTTCCTTCTTGGCCCTTTTGGGAGCACTCTGCTCCTTCTCACGGTTCTCAGTCGACTGAGGCTCCTTGGTCTGTTCGGGGGCCTGCTTGGAAGCCTTGGGGGCCTTTGGGGCTTTGGGCTCTTCTGTCTTCTGCTCTTCCTTCTCGGGCTTGGGGTCGGCTGCTGGCTGTGACAGGGGCTTGCGCTTTGCACTGCGCGGGGAGGTCTTCAAGTTCAGCCTGCGGATAGCAGGCGGCCGGTTTGCTGGGGCAGTGGCTGCTGAGCCTTTGGCTGCTGAGCCTTTGTCTTCCTTCTTTTCTTTTTTTTCTTTCTTCACTTTCTTTTCCTTATCGTGTTTCTTCGAAGACTTGAGGGCCATTGCTAACGAAGCTCGGACTCTGAAGGAGCGGTCCTAGCTGTGACATCATTCCCATTCATCATTATATCATAGACACATGTACATGAACAACGTCGTGAACACAAGGCTTCGAGAGCATGCTGGCATGCATGTCAAATATGCAACACACATAGCCTCACCCGACCCACACGCACACACACACACACTCGCACGTATACTGTATACTATATACACTATACTCTACTAGTATCTACTAGTATCTACTACTACTACTACTACCACTACTACTACTCCTCCTACTCCTGCTATTTCCTTTTCATTTGCCCCCGGGTTGTCTCACCATCAACCCTCCCTGTAGGGGGCAAACGAAAAAGAAAAATGCGAACGGACTGCGATGCCTTGTCAAGTTCTAAGGTGTCACTATAAGAGCTGTGAGCAAGACCGTGTAAAGTGCAGGAGAAGGGGGCACGCTACGCGTCCCTCGACTCTAGGGGGCATGCTACGCATCCCTCGTCTTTACCTTTCTATGTGACCGCCAACGCAACGTTTGGCTCAAGTCAATGCCCATAGCTAAGTGCTATATGTGTCTTCTATCCTGAGCAATCAGAGCTATCCCGTTGCACAGACGAACCGCCGCCGGCAGTGAGTGCAAAAGGAACGGCCGCCGGTTCTGCCTGCATAGGATCGCACGTGTGGAAGTACGAGAGAGAGAGACAGGGTCCAGTTTGTGGAGAGTGCTAGCCAGCCACACCTACATTCATTACAGCTCTGGTGGGGAGAGCAGCAACCAAGTCGAGATCAATCCCCCACGCAGGTTATCAGCCGTACGCGGCTCTGCCTTTCTACAGCAACGACTACTTGATCTACTACGACCACAATGAACTCAGGATCAAGTCAAGATACGACAATGACTTTCGGTGCCGATGTGGCAGCGCCAGCCGTTGGTGAGTCAACAGCTGATGACACAGTGGTGCAATCCGTTGATAGCTCCACGGAAGATGACAAAGGTCAATCTTCTGCGCTTGCCATTGCAAAGGCAGTTCCCAAGGGGAAAGCAAAGAGTCTACCAAGAGCATCTACGCCTTCACGTCCGACATCCACAGGTTCGAGGACGGGCAAGGCTTCAGAACGACGGGCCGAAGCGTCTGGTTTTCAGGCACCTCGGACTACGTCCAGGGCTAAGGACAAAGGAGTCAAGACCTTGGAGAAGAAGTCAAGACCATCATCTTCGAGAAGCTCTTCAGCACGATCGAGGACTTCGGCTACCCGTGGGCGTGACAAGTCCATGACTTGGAATCGGATGGTTACCAATCAACCACGCGATTCTGATGATCTGGACATGACTCTGGATACGATTCCTGCACGTGGTGATGCATCATCCGTGGCCACGCCTGCAATAGCTGACGGTCCGAATGCCTACCAGGAGCTGACGATTTCGCAACAGTTCGAAGCATCGAACCTTGCACAGCAAATGTACTATCGCAGTCAGGTGCAAGAGTACGAAGGAATCGTGCAGACCCTGATGGACAAGATCAAGGAGATGCAACAAGAAGATGAAGGATCGGGAATTCGCATTGAAGAATTGGAACGACAACGTGATCATGCTTGTTTAGCCATGAGGCACATCAACAATGTCAATCAGGAGATGAAGCGAGACTATGAAACAGCTTTGTTTCGCATGGATGAACAGAACTCTGCTCAACAACGTCAAGCACATGCCGTTGCCGAGGATTTAGCTCAACAGCTACACGTGTTCCGCACGGAGGCAGCCACCAACTTTGTGCAGTTGGAGGCAAGAGCGCAAGGTGATGGTGAGCTTATGGCACGTGAGTATGAGCGTCTGACTCATGAACTTCATGAACACGCCAGAGAGAACTTGGTCCTCCGGTCAAACACAGCAAGTTCGGAACAAGCCTTACAAGCAATGCAGGAACGATTCCACTTGGTCAAGAACCAGGAGTTGCGGGCCGTGAACGAGATCCAAGGGCTAGCTGGAAACAGCGCAGCCATTGAACAAGAACGATTTCGGCTTCGTGAACGTCTTGGTGAAGAGGAAGAGTACCGCAGAATGGCTGTGAAGAGGATGCAAGAAGCAGAGGAACGACTTCATCAGAATGAAGATCATGCAAGGCGATCATTGCCTACCTTGCACGACGAGCTGAGTGAACTCAGGAAAACGCTCAAAGCACAAGAAGATCTTCAAGCGAGGACACGCAGCGAATTGGAGGCAGCGCGAAACTCTACTCAAAGGGAAGCGACGCGACCTTCGAGCATGCCCATGTCTTCGAGGACTACTGAGTCTGGCTGGGAGCACGTAGGAAAGGATGTAATGCCTGCATTTTCCGTAGGAGATGAGGTACGATCCCCTGAAATACGGTCCCCAAGTCAAGTTAGTCCAGTCGCCAAAGAGAAGTTCGCATTCTCGGAATCGGACAAGGACAAGAACCTTGTGATGGACGGAATTCCATTCACCGGTGGAAATTTCTTCACTGGCCGCAGTTCAATGCCAATCGTGGCGGATGCAATGCCCGAGCACCACGTGCCAGGTATTAGCAGTCCAGCGCTTGCGCGTTCCACGCCTAGTGCAGCCACGTTGTTTGGCATACCAAGCGGATTTCATGGGAAAAGTGATGCGGCAGCCGTGCGTGATCGACAGCTACGCGAACTCTTGGGGGATCGCGGGATGTTGGGATCGAAGTCCACAGCATCAGCCAGCTCCTCAAGACCTGTTGGCATCGACGGTGTCACCGCATCTACGAAGGGCAACGACCACATTGGTCCCCCTGTCGCCTTTGACGATTCCATCCATGAGGCAAGGAGGCGTCAGATCGAGAAAGAGATCGCGGAACAGTACGAGGAGAAGATTGCTGATCTGCGTAGTGAAGTACTCAAGGCTCAGAAAGCCGAACAACGTCTCAGAGCTGATCGTGATGAGTGGAGATTATTCGCTGAAACGATTCAAGAAAACAATGGAGACGATGACGGTGACGAAGCTGGCGACGAGAATGGAGAGGAAGAGCATGATGAAGGTACCGGCACGGGGTATGATCCTCCGGATCCGCCTGACGATGATGATGACAAGAAGAAAGGTGGAGGGGGCAAACCCGAATCGGATCCTGGTTCGCATGCGCGTGATCCTGATGGAGATGCGGATCCTGAAGTTACAGAGGTGAGAATTTCCAGGAGGGAAGCCGACAAAGTGACCGTTCCTCCATGGCCTACTCTACTCATCTCAACAACTGGCGATCTGTGTGCACGGCAAATGTCTTAGGGGCATCAGCCGACCCACATCATGAGGACTGGATGTTATGGCTGGCACCAGCGTTCAACCCATTCCCTGATGTCGAAGCATTGAATGATTCAGGACACAAGAAGTTCAAGAGCATCGACGTCAAATTGGGGATTGCCATGGTCGCAATGTTACGTGCCGGTGGTGACAAATCAGCTGACCTGTACCTCGAGGTGAACCGGAAGGCCAACGATTACATCAGCAGGCCTGACGTGAAGATCATCAAAGGACGACAAGTCATCGCGATGATGTACGAAAGTTTTCGAACGCATGATCGTCTTGACATGATCATCACTCTTGAGTATTTGGTGAAGCTCCAGTACCAAGGCGACAACAAGCTTCATACGTTCAAGCAGACGTGGTTGGAAGTTCTGGGACGGATGAGACCAGAGGACATTCCATCCAAAACAGCTCTCCGTGATTGCTTGTACAGCAAGATCAAGGACTCGCCCGCAATGAAAATGGACTTGGGCATGCACTATGAACATTTGCCCTACAATCATGAAGATCGATCGTACGACAACCTGATGAAGATCATTGATCGTACCATCATGCGGAAACGAGAACAGTCAAATCTCACTCAGACTCAAATTGGCTTGCGCCAGATGCTTGAGGGCAAGGATTTGCTTGCTGCACCGGCCAAGGTACCTGAGAAACCTACGCCTAACGCAGCTCCATCCGCAAAGGTCAAGGCTTCACCGACCAAGCCGGACAAAGCAACACCTGTACTACCTCAAAGCAAAGCGAAGAGTCATGCGAAGACCAAGCCGAAGCCCAAGAAGAAGACGAGGAGTGAGTCAGCGGACAACAGAGGTGACAAAAGCAAGAAGCAAATCCGCTGCAAGTTCCATTTCACAGATGCAGGGTGTCGAAATGGCGATAAGTGTCCATTCAGTCACTCGAAGAAGACTCCAGAACGACCCTTCACGCCGAGGACGAGAACTCCAAGTCCATCTGGAGGAGGAGGAAACAGGATTTGCTACTCGTTCAAGAACACAGGCTCGTGCTCAAGAGAGAATTGTCCTTTCAAGCATGAGGCAGCAGCTACCCCAGCTCCGGAACCAAAGGCAAAAGCTAAAGCCAAATCCGAAGCGAAGGCAGCTCCAGCGAAGCCGAATGCCAAGGCCAAGGCACTTCCTGCAGCACCCGCCATCAGATTGTGTCGAAGGTGGAATCCATCAGCTCCGGCTATATGGAAGCGATCTTCAAAACAAGATGAGGAGGAGTCAGATTGTCCATCCGTTGACAGCGACGCTGATTCGGATTGTTCAACAGATGACGAATCCTCGGGAACGACTACGTCGACCCGAAAAGTGACAAAGCGCAATGTGACATTTGCCAATGACGTGAAGTTCATTTCTTCGTGTCCTAGACGATCGAAGAAAGACAAAGAGCGGAAGGTGAAGCACGTCGACATGGAAGCGTTTGTCAATGATGAGGATCGCGCTGTGAGCTTGGAATTCGCCAAGCACAAAGCGAGGTTGAGGGCACAGATCATGAGAGATATGGTTGACGACGATGATGATCAATGCGGAGATCGAGTTTCATTCGTACGAATCCCAGGAACGTCTCGAGTGGAAGAAGTTTCGTTCTACGACGGTGAGGATTCCATCGTTGAGCGCGAACTCGATGCTGCACACAGCAAACGGATCATCAATCAAGGCTTATTCAAATGCATGGTTCAACCAGTCATCCTTAAGAAGAAGATCAAGTTTCTCATGGACACTGGATG